AAATACACTGACTTCAAAATGTTATTCCTCAGCCCCAACATTCATATTAACATCGATATTGCACTAAAATCTATTGTCAATAATTTACAGTCAACATAAACACGGGTTGTCCAAACCAAAATGATTCAACATCACACTATACCAACAATGATAACCCAAAAGGTAATGAGAGAGAGAGAGAGCGCGAAGTTAAGTTATAGACAGTTATTAGAAAACAACTTGTTCTCAAAATGCATTATGAGCTTGAAAGCAACTTCCCAGCAACATGGTGAAAGTGTTAAGATTGTCATTCAAGTAACAAATGAATGATAAATGCTTCAAATATGAACAATAACAGTACAAAAAATTTAACTTGGAACAGATATTTCAAAAACAAAATTGAAATGAAAATTCAGTGGAAAAAGATTAGTCTAAAAGATTATTAGGTTATGGGCCCAATTTGAAAGTTAATGACTTTTTTATTTTTGAAACAGCAGAAAAACGTTAAGAAGTTGAATCACTAGTCACAGCAAGAACAAAATAGCACAATAGAAGAGAAAATGCTTGGCACCAACATCTAATATACAAACTTAGTAACTTCGATACCTCAATTGGTGGTTATCTAGGGACAAGGTAAAACAAGTATATCAAGACCAAGAAGACAGCCACCACCACCCTTCAAACATAGATAGGGAAACCCATAAAACATAGAAGGCCCCAGAAATTAACTAACAACATGTATCTATTCTAACTGCTACACTTGTGAAAAAAGAGGAAAAAAGAAAAAAGCCCTGATAATACCTTACGCATGAGCAGTTTTAAACACTACTCCAACTCCAAATTTCTATTTATATTTAGAATAGACTGGGTTCCAAAAGTTATGCAATTCATCAACTACAGTACAGTAAATCAAATCCATAAGCTAACCCAAGATTCCCAAAGGTGAACGAAGCCCAAACGTTCTGTGACAAAATGAAGAGTTTGATTTCTGTGAACAGTGGCTGCGAGCCAGTGACAGTGGGTGTGCGTTATTACCCAGTTCATAGAAACCCATAAACCCAAACCCAATTTCTGAGCAACCAAACCAATTTCTTAGAAATCCAGACACCATAAACCTTCACAAAACCCCACATTTCAAAGAAAATGGTTATGAACAGTACCTCGTCGATGTCAACGATCGATTTCCGCTTGGATGAACGGCCACTGTTGACGGGGAAAGAGCACTGCGTCGAAGAGAGAGAGGTACACCAGGAGAGAGATGGGCTGAAGAGAAAGAGCGAAGACAGTGAGAGAGAGAGCCAATTTTCTGAAACTATGATATGAGTACAATAAGTGGGCAATAATTTTATATTTAAAGGTGTTAGTTGTAAAAAAATTGGGAAGGGGTGGTATTTTTAGTTAAAATTAGCAAAAGGGTGGCATAGAAGGCTATTTCCCTTTTTTTTTCCGTCTTCTTCCTCTCTGCCTCAGTCTCTACCCGTCTCTTTTCAGGGCTCACAATTATTCTCCCCAGGCCGTGGTTTCTTGTTTGCTGGGGTCACTTGACCCCCTTGCCCCTACGTGGATCCGACAGTGAACCTTGATACAAGTTTTTCCAGATTTTCCTCTCCATAAATGCAAATATTCAGATGGAGAAACTTGTTTCTACTCGAGAATTCATTGATTTCATCAACTTCTACAGCAACCCGCTTCGCTTGGTTCCATTCTACTCCAACTTCATTCGAGAAGTGGAAGAACAAATGGACCTTCGTGAGTTGTTTCTCTTTGATGATTTCATTTTTATTACTCTCCATGTCAAAGATTTGTTAAAAGTGTATGCTTAATTCGTCGTTTAGTTGTATGCTTATGAACATGATTTTTTATTTTTCGTTTGAAGATTCTTAGAGGTTGTGAAGGCAAAATTTACATGATAAATCCTATAAGCAATAACATTACTTTTTGAATGAAAAGAGAGCGGTTTCTAGCTTTGTTTAGGGAAACATGTTATCTTCTTACTTGTGCTTTTTGTATTTATTTATATTAAGTCAATAATATCTTTGATTGAGGATTTTTTTTTTCTACTGCCACCTTGACTCTTAAAATTGATGATGGAATAACTGACTATTGTTTTGGTTAATCAGTTTGTGTTTCTTGTCATTGGCTGTTTAAATTTGTTGATCACCCTATGGTTAAATGGCTGTTTAAGTTTGTACTTTCTTCTCTCTTGGTTCTCTAGAAATTGGCACTAATGTTTGGTCTCTACGTTGAGTTTTAATTTTTTAATTTTTAATTTTTATCTTTGACTTCAAGGCAGAGAGAATCTATAATATAAGTGGTGATTTTTTCGTCTTCTAAGGTTTCCAAGTGATCCAGTCAGTGTCAGGTGTAGGTCAAATTTTAAGGTTTCTCCTACCTTTGCATTTCTACCGAGAGAGGTTTAAGGCATCTTGGTGTAATTTGATTGTGCAAATTGATTCGTCTGTATCTTAATGTTTGTGATGCATATTTAGTTTTTTTAAATTATGAAGTTTTTTAGAATAATCGTCAATTAGATAAAATTTGAACTAACACGATTTTGCTTTCTATAAGAATATTTATTGATTCAAATGTTTTTGCAGGATGTAAAAAGCAGTCAACAACCATCAAAGGTATTTAATTCTGTGCTAATTTCGGACTTCTTATATAGAAAATACATGCCAATGATAGCAAGCAAAGGCAGCAAAAACTGACACTGCACACAGGGCTTTAATCTTTTTCCCCCTTTATGGTGTGCTTTCCACATGATAATCATACGTGGGAATTGTTAATTCTCGAGCATGAAATTTGATTGGTTGTTTGTTTGGGAAAAAGTCCTAAGAGTTTAATAGTCTTGAAAGATGCAAACTTCTACTCTTGCCTTTGGCACAAGAAAGGTTAGTTCCTATCATTTATCTCCCCTATAAAAAATTGCCAATTCACAAACACAATTTTTCTATAAAAAAACAGTTATGTTAGGATTAGTTGGAAAAACAACACATCCATATTCCACAAATATTCTTCTAATTTATAAGACTATTTTTATGCTTAATGATTAATTTTGAAGGGAGAATGTATTGGTCTTCAGTCTACCTATGTCGTCTAATTCAGCAGACTAAGTGAACGTAAATGCTCTCAATCCGTGATTTAGTAGAAAGCCAAGATAGGCAAATTAGTTGTTACCAATACACAGATTGTGCGCTTCTCGAGTATGCCATTTTATGGCAGAGACAGAACAGACGTGCATGTTTAAAGTTCGTATACATGTGGAAGGAGGGATTTTGTTTGGTGACAAGTTTGAAAAAAGATGCTCCACAAACTATTATGGGACATAAGATTTGTTGTTAATTATTGCATAGCATACTTAGGAGTTTAAGAAAACTGCTGGTTCTGCAACAAGTTTCCACCTCAAATGGAAAGTTTAGCTCCAAGCAAATGAAAAAGTCTTGAGAGAGAGAGAGAGAGAGAGAGAGAGAGAGATCTTGGATGCTCTGGTGCTCTCACTTCTGGTTGTAATCTCCCTTTCTGGGGCATTTCCAGTCTTAAAATAAGTGCAAATTGGATGCTAGCCGGAGTGAGTATCGTAATATGAAATATTAATAAATTTTGGTGCTGCTGTAATATTTGATGGCCTACTTTGCTGTTGTCTGATGTTTCCAAACTATATATTCTTCAGTTCTATTGCTTTTTATTGCCAAGTTCATTGTAGCTTGAAAAGCTATTATTTCCATTCATCTTCCCTGCTTCAAATTGCATTTCAGCCCTGTTCGGCAGCATGTTTGCTTTTCAATAAGCAGATGCATCCTTATCTTGTGTTATCCTTTTCACCCCGTGCCAGTATCTAGACTGTGCAGTCTTTTTTTATTCATATTTTCTTTTAGATTTTTTTTCAATCCTTGGTTGGTCTTTAACCTGCTAAATGTTTATTAGCTATCAAGCCTTTTCCTTCACATGTTCTAGAATGTAATCTGAATTCCAAGTCAAACAGGCTGTCCAGAGGGAAAGATAAATAAATTTAGATGTGCCTTTTATATTCGCTTATTTCTTGCAATAGTTTTGTCCCTCATTCCATTTATTGTATGCTCTTATAAAGCAAGGGAGTACCCTCTTTTATGATTGTACCAACTCTTATACCCAGTTAGGAGTCTGTTGTTTCACTGCTTAGTATCAGTTTTCCCTCCCTGCTTCTCTGTCTCTTTCATAATTATGAATTTTCTAAATTGAAGCTTAACATTTGAAATGTGCATTTCAGAATTACATCAGATATGCAACACGTCAAAAGCGTGCTGATACAAAGAAAGCCCTGAAAAAACCTCCTCTTCAACAGTGGGTCCTCAAAAAATTTCTTTCAGAACATTCAGGTAGACTGGTCCTCTTGTTTTTGTATATAGTCTCGTTGAAGTCTCTATATATGAAACAACTTGGCAAAATTCCATTGTTTTACTCATTATTTTGAAACGAGGGTGTGCATCTATACATTGGAATGCCCTCTTTTTTGTTGCATTAAAATAAATTTTTTAATTTGTGTATGTGTTTCGTTTCTTTTATATTTCTCTGAGGATACTTTGGCGTTAAATTCTGATTGAATGTCCACATTCCATTCAACTTGGATTTGGATATAGTTAAACATGATTTAAATGGAGCCATTTAAAAATTTATCTCAAAAGTAGTGACGAAAAAAACTAAAACATATTATGAATTCATGAATTCATGATGATATAGCTCCTAATTTTTCTAATGGCCTTGTGGATCCTTAATTGTTAAATATATATATATATATATATTATTGATATGTAAGACACGATGGAGACGTCTCAATTCTATCAATTCCCCCCTGCACTTTAGAAATCCAGTTATCTAGTTCCTGGTATTAGAGTTCCCCTGTCATGTCTCAGAGGCAGAAGCACGTAATATGGTGTTTTGCTGATTGTTTTTTATTTATAAATATAATTGTGTCTGCTTTTGATTAAAAAAAAAGTGCACTTAGTTTTTACTGTAGTGATACTTAGTTTGTTTTCACTGTCAGAATGAAAATTATTCAGGAAGCTCTCCTCAGAAACATAGGTCGAGATCTTCTCGACATACTGAGAAATCACACCACAAGAAAACAAAACGTGAGGTCTTCTTATTTGTCCATTCTAAGCCTATCCTTTTATTTATATTTGTTTTCTATGCCCTACGTTTGCTGCACTTAATAGTTTGATTACTTTTACAATTTTGTCTAGTAATCTGTACTTTCTTTTTTGATGTTTGGCCTGCATCTGAGCTTTATGATTTGCTGATCCACTTTTTCTCATGCCAACAGTAGATTTCTTCATGATAAAAGTTTGCTTTTAATGTTGTCTAGATGGTGGATATCTTGTGCAAGACTGGTCACCGCCATGCTGTGACTTTAATGAATTTTATTGATGAAGTCTCTGTTTCATTAAAAAAAATAAAAAAAAAAAAAAAAAAAAAAAAAAGAAACAGCTCATCATTTTCTTTAATGCTTTAAAAGCTGGATGATCTTTTCATCAGTTCAGTGGTTATTGCACTTGATTATAGTTATTTCCTACTTAGAAAATTTGTGTATTCTACACTTAAATACTTTGAAAAGTACTCCCATTTCTGATGTGCTTCCCAACTATACAGAAAAAAAGGTGTGCTTTTTATTTCATTTTTAAAGCAAACATATTATACAAGTATAATTAATTTTAAAATGTTGTGTTAACTTGTGGCTGAATTTTTCACTCTCTTTGTAAGAAACTATGCTGAATGATCATTACCATAAAACCTTCCTATGTTGTAAACTAAAGTTATAGATCTTATCCATAAACCAGATTGTCTAAAATCCAAGGTGTGTGTCATATGTGACATGTACCTGGTTAGGTATCAGATGCATTTCTGATTTTTGGATGCACAATAGGAAGAACTGCAATCCCAAATGTAAATGTTTCTTGACGAACCCTCAGAACTTTATGAAGTTGCTAATATCTGTCAGAAGAATCTCTAAATCTGCTCTCATGTAAGATTTTTCAGAACTTCACATTTCTACTTATTTCATTGCGAAAAGTCAGAGATTCTATGTAAAAATTTAAAAACCCATGTGTTTTCTGCTGGCTGGTAGAGGTTATGATTTGCCTGCATTAGGTGCATCTTACAAACCTTGTGCTTTCTCTTTCTGTCCTGTTCAGGCAAGTTCAAAAGGGAGAGTTTCTCCGAAGATGATGACAACAATCCTGAGTCTATCTTTCGTGCGACATTTGGCAAGAAATGGTACACCTGGTCTTTTGACTCGTGCCGTGACTCCTCTTTTAAAGATTCAGAATCTGGATTTGAGTGGTCAGAGCAATCAAGCTGGAAAGATAGAAGTAAAAGATGGGAGAATAGTAGTGACGTGGAGTCTGATGATGAATTATGTACCATAGGATCTTATTCTGATAGAACAATTCTTGGTCTGCCTCCAACAGGTCCTTTAAAGGCTGAAGATGTTAAAAAAGCGTAAGTTCTTCAGCGGGCCTTTTTTTCTCTCTCCAAATTTTTGAATGGAGTATATGAACAAAGTTCTTGTACTTTATTTTATATTTCCCCGTTTTCTTTTACAGTATTATTTAAACATTTGACTCCTCCTGGCAGTTTCCATTTATCAGCTTTAAAATGGCATCCTGACAAGCATGAAGGCCCTTCACAGGTCAGTTCTTAATCTTTGGATCTTTGACTAATTTGAATTCTTTAATTCACTCGAGTGTTGAGTGTGTTCAAAATATCATGTTCAGTTGTTAGTCATAGCCTATTCAACAGTTTGATTTTCCATTTTTGTGTGGGTAAGCGGCTTGATAGAGGCATCAAAAAGCTGTTTGTAAAAAGCTTTGACAAATATGGAATAAGTCTTAAGGCAAATTACTCCCTTGAAAATTGTTAACATTTAATTATCAAGACAAAAATACGCATCCCTTAATTAGGTTTATTTGAATTGATAGATGACTTTGCACTTTTTTAGCTAGCCAGATAACACTGGTAAGTTTTACTTTAAAACAGATAAAAATACCATACTCATGCTACAGTGCATAATTGTGAACTGGAACAGTATGCGTTGAAGAAAATGATGAATCTGCGAAGAAAAATCTTGACAGCAATCACATTGGCACAGAGATGATGAATGTCCAAATGTTCGTTGTCAGGTAGGTCCTATATACACAATGGGAGCAAGTCAACTGAAGCATAACTTGACTTTAACAAGTTTACAGATTACACCTAAGCATAACAAATTGAAAACTCCTAACTGTTTCCTTACGGTTTTCAAATAATGAATAAATACATCTCCATTGGAGCTTATAGAGAATAATGGCAGTGTACCCACCCCTTGTGCCTGAGTTCGATCCCCCTCTCGGGTAGATTAGAGCAATTTTGAGTAGTTTAAATTGTCGTTTATATAAAAATAAAAATAAATTAATAAAAACTTTTCCTAACAGAAGCCAACTGAAGCTGTCCTATGAACGGGATCTGAGCTGGCTGTCAAGATGTTAATGCTGACTTGTCATTATCGCTGTCTTTTATCTGGCTTGCTTTGCTGAGTGTTGACTTAGTTGTATTCTGGTTTGTCTTGGTGCTCGGTCTTGCTGTTATGCACAGTGACCTGTTTTGCTGCACGCCATTTGTTTAACTTTTGTTGCTTCTCTGCCATGATTTGTTTATCGTATTATTATTAGGTCAGTTTCATGATTTCTTTTTCATTGTTATATTGATAACTTCTGATAAGATATTTGTGCATCTTTGCAGGCAATGGCTGCAGAGAAATTTAAACTTTGTGTTAATGCTTGCAAATCTCTGTGCAATGCACTATCCCTAGCGTAAGCCGTTAGCTCAAAAGGTTCTGGTTTGAACATTAACAGCTCCCTCTACACCGGTTCTCTATTCAAAAGGAAATCCTCATACAGATTTGACCTAGTGCTGGACATGGTCTCCAGATCAAAGCGTTAGTGTACTTGAATAGTAATTTGATTAATTTATTCAAATTATATGTGCATAAAGATTGTACTGAATCTATTGACAAATTTATAAAGAAAATTACAATTCTTTTAGAGATATTCCTTTTTTTGGGTAATCTTTTAGAGAAATTCTTTGACTTCACATTCATATCATGTTTACTAATCAAGAATGTGTATATGATTGCAATTCCTGACTCCCCATACGTCTACTTGCAAATAATGAATAAATTTTTTTTGGGTGAGTTTTACGTTAAATTCGTAATTAAATATTCTTAAAATCAAGATAATGAGAGTAGTTGATCCAATTCTAATTCCTTAATTCCTTAATTCCTCTAAGCTTCTTGATTCATGACTTCCTTTGTTCCTAACAAGTAAACATGTCAGAAGTGCCGAATCCATCCCAAGGACGATCGCTCAGCCCCCCGTTGGTCACGTGCTCAGACCCCAGCTGGTCACATTCACATGCCCATTTCACACAAGTATTTCTCCATCGCTGTTCACACATGATTACTCGTCCATTTCAAAATTCAAATTCAAAACAATATTATTAGAAAACTAAGAATGAACTCAACTCTCTGATTGGTTGTAGTAGCAATACTGAAATAACTTCCGAACTGTACAGTATAAAGCTACTCGAAAGAAAATCTTCTTTGTTGGTCAAAGAAAGAAAATCAAAATCTTGGCTTTTGGTCGAAGAAAGAACATCTTCTTTTGAACATCTTCGTTTGAAAGCATCCCACTTATTTTTATACATTTTTTAAGAACAAAAAGCACCCAGATCCAAACTTGGTATGTAGAAAAAGATCACAGCCAAAAAGAAGAAACCTATAAAAGATAAAGAAAGATGATGAATGGAAATTCTGAGGGCAAACTTGTGGCAATGGATAACAATTAGAATTCTAGAATTTAATCAAATTTGACAAAAGTTCTAAACTCTCCTCTCTAACATTTCACCTTAATTAATAAAGACAAGACGATATTATATGGCCAGTAGCTTCCCCACTGAGAGCCAAGAGACAGAGTGTCGACCTAAGCTTATTATAATTGACTGGAAACTTGTGTGAAGCTTCCTCAGTTTCTAGAATAGTTCAATAGTAGAAGAAGACAAGCTACCGAAAAGAAATGTGGATTAGGAATAGTTCAAAAGTAGAAGTGATTATGTGAAACAATCAAATTGAGAAATTTTATCATGTACATTCTTTTGTCTTTTCTTTTTTTGGTTGTTAGATCTACGTCTAAAGTGATTAAATGTCATTGTAGTTCACGCATTGTTGGTTTTAGATGTAGGTCCTTTCACTTTCATTAATTTTTTTGTGCTGTCGATTTTAACCTTTGAGGTAAATAAGGAAAACACATTGAAAATCCAAATTTAATACATTATTCCCTTGTAATTGAATTTCAGAATTTAAATTTTGCATTATTTCCTTGATAATATTTATCTAATATATGGATAAAATACAATTTAATCAAAGAATGTAAAGACTCACATATTATAACAATCGATCAAGTAAGCATCCACACAAAATTATGTAACTATGCATCAGGTAGTATGTGGATCTCATTAATACAACCAACAATAAAAAACGCCATAATAAAAACAAAACAAAGACATGGGAAAATGGAGAAAGAAAAGAGCCAATGTTATATGCATAATGCAACTTCTTAGTCATTGTCAAGCAAAATTCTAAAAGCCAAATATTTTTCACAAACCAACTTCTGGGAAGCTACACTAGGATCAAAGCCATATTTTTTTTTTGGAAAAGCATCTATACGGCTTTCTAGATGGGATCAAGATTTCAAATTGGTGATGGAAAATCAGCACGAATTTGGGGGGATAGATGGGTGCCAAGGCCTGCCACTTTTGCTGTGATCACCTCACGTCTACATGGTATGAAGGATACTAGGGTGAGTGAGTTGATATATAATGAGGGCTCTCCACAATGGGATCTCCAGAAACTCAATAATCTTTTTTTACCTGTGGATGTGGTTGACATTGTGACATTGCACGAATCCCCTTAAGTATTCAGGCGCCACCAGACCGAATTGTATGACATTATGATAACCATGGTGTGTTCACGTTAAAGAGTGCGTATAGAGTGGCCTTGTGACTTACTTCTGGTGATGAGGATGGGTCTTCCTTATCCAGTGCAGATAATAGTATGCTCTGGAGACTTATTTGGAAAGCCACTGTACCTACAAAGCTTAAATTTTTTGCATGGCGTGTAGCCCATGATATCCTACCTACTAAGTCAAACTTAATTAAAAAGGGTGTAGATATGCAGGAGCTGTGCTTGTTTTGTGGCGACACCACTGAAAGTGCTGTACATGTCCTTGTTATGTGTCCGTTTGCGGTGGCTACTTGGGATATTTCTATGTTGACAAGGCATGCCCATCAGGTACGTTGTAATACAATGAAAGATTGGTTGAGAGAGATGCTGGAGAGTACAAATAAAGCGCAGAGGGATCATATTATCACTTTGCTATGGGCTATATGGGGAAACCGAAATACATTGTTGTGGCAGGGAGTTCAACGATCTCTACATGATGTTGTGGTCTTTGCTCAACAATATGTGCATGAATTTATTACGGTAAATGGTACTCTGTCCAAAGTAACTAATTGGGTGCGGGATGCCTTTAAATGGGTAGCATTACTGTCAGGCCGCCTCAAACTCAACTTTGATGGAGCATTTGATCCTACTTCGGGTAGAGGGGCTGTTGGGGTTGTTGCCAAAGACGCGGATGGAGGTTTTGTGGCTGCAATGGCAAAATCAGTTAGGGAAGTGCAATTGGTTGAACATGCAGAAATTCTTGCGGCTCCTGAAGGGGTGACCCTTGCTCTCTCACTCGGGATTGCATCTCCCATCTTTGAAGGAGACTCTGCTGTGGTGGTTGCAGCAGTAAAGCGAGCAGGACAGATTTATTCCAACATTGGTACCATTGTTGAAGATGTAAAGCATCTTCAGAAATGATTTCCTGGCTCTGTTTTTCAATTTACTCATAGGGAAGCAAATGGTGTTACACACCGACTTGCTAGATTTGGTCTACATACTGTGGACAACTTTACTTGGTTTGAGGTGCCCCCTGATCTTATTTAGAACGCTCTATTATGTGATTTGTTGAGTCGGAGTCAGGCGTATTGTTCCCCCCCAACCCCGTTGTAACTTTTCGTTTTATCAATAAAGTTTCCCTCGTTCCATCGAGATCTCTCAAAAAAAAAAAAAAAAAAAAAAAAAATTACTTAATTTTAAATTAATATAATGATTTTAATTTGGATCATGAAGGCAATTAATTGAATGGTAAAACTAAAAAAGAAACAAACAATGAATTATACAAAATCATTATAGTCAGAAGCAATTACTTTGTTAATTAATACCTTAAAATCAGATTGTTTCCCATTTTCACCTCAATCCAAAGAAAAACAAATTTAGTCAGCCTCCTAAAAAAGGTATGTAATCTTATGTGGCAAAGTAGTCAAAGGACTTAAATCAAATAGACAAAATACAAGGATTGCATCCAACTATTGTTATACCTTTTGGATTTGGCTTAATTATTGATATGCCCCCTGTGCTTCACTGAAAATCTCAGTTTGCCCCCTGCACTTCAAACTGAGTCAATATGCCTCCTCTGCTTTATTTTTGTGTCCCCCGTTACCCCCTTCCGTCAGTTTGGTTAGTAAATCTGTTAACTTGCTTGCGTGGCAAGAGTATTTTAGATATTTTAGCTATTAAAAATTTTCAAAATTTCAAAATTTAAATTAACTTTTTAAAAACTGTTTATAAAATATTTTAATAATTAGAAAGTTCTTAAAAAAATAAAAAATAAAAAATAAAGCCCCTAGCACCTGAATAGCCCCACCACCACAACAATCCAACCCTTCCCCACCGCCACCCGCCGCCCCCAACCTATGGCCATCCGTTTTTCAAATATGATATCCCCACCTAGGTGATGCACCCACCCCAAACTATTAATAACAATCAATCCCAACCCACCTAGCCACTTTGAACCTCCAACCATACTCACTCCGAGCTGACACTCCAAATCCACACCCAACCTCACAAATCCAATATGCCCCAAGCCGTAGCCATCCCAACAAATTTTCCGAATGCCAAAACCCCAAGGCGCAAGAACTTCTCTTATCTTCTCCAACTGGGTTTGATTTGATTTCATGCTTGTCATTTTCACATATTCTTTGTGCAACCATGAAGGTTAAGCGATTGGAGTTTATAAACAGTAAACTCATATTGAAGAACTTTATTTTGTTTTTTACTTTTTACCCAGGCGGAGGAGAAATCAGGGTGGCAAGATGGGGAGGGAATGGTAAGCATGGGTTGGGAGTGGTTGTTGGCGATAGGGAAGGGTTGGGTTGTGGTGGTGGGGTGCTATTCGGGTTATGGGGGATTTATTTTTTTCCCTATTTTCTAATTTATTTTATTATTAAAATGTTTTAATACTGTTTTAAAATTTTGAGAATTTTGAGTAGTTAAAATTACTAAAATACCCACGCCACGTCAACAAGTTAACGATTTTACTGACCAAACTAACCGAATGAGGTAACAGGAGACACAAAAATAAAGCACATGGGGCATATTGGCTCAGTTTGAAGTATAGGGGGAGTTTATAAACAGTAAACTCATATTGAAGAACTTTATTTTGTGTTTTACTTTTTTACCCTGGCAGAGGAGAAATCAGGGTGGCAAGATGGGGAGGGAATGGTAAGCATGGGTTGGGGGTGGTTGTTGGCGATGAGGAAGGGTTAGGTTGTGGTGGTAGGGGGCTATTCAGGTTCAGGGGATTTATTTTTTCTCTATTTTCTAATTTATTTTATTATTAAAATGTTTTAATACTATTTTAAAGTTTTGAGAATTTTTAATAGTTAAAATTACTAAAATACCCATGCCACGTCAGCAAGTTAACGATTTTACTGATCAAGCTAACGGAATGAGGTAAAGGGGGATGCAAAAATAAAGCACAAGGGGCATATTTTCTCAGTTTGAAGTATAGGAGGCAAAGTGAGATTTTCGGTGAAGCACATGGGGCATATCAATAATTAAGCCTTTGTTTTTATTTCATTTTTTATCTTTTTTGTGTGGAGGCAATACAAGGATCCGTTTGAATTCATGGATTTGATTAGGTAGATTTGGATTTAGAGGCCCAAATCCAAATCCTTTCCATCGTTTTGGACATATTTTAAATTTGACCCAAATTTTCATAGGCTCAAAAGTAGAACATCTAAACTATGCATTTGAGAGGATTTCAAGCTTTTAATTTTTGCATGTGAGAATGTGAGATGAAAAAATAAAAAGGGAATAGAGGGGTAGATATGAGAAAGAAAACAGAGAGATGAGAAAGAAAACCCGGGGGTTTGTTTGTTGTCTGTTGTGGTTATGATTTAGCATACACTGTATACATAGGGGGCATGAACGAAAATTGCGTTTTCTAACAGAAAGTGTGAAGTATAATAGGCAATTCAGCTTTTGATTTATTTATTTTATATTTAGGCTTTTAGTGGCCATATCCCTACATTTAGACCCAATTTGCATTTTGGTACTCTAATTTATTCGCAAAATGGCTTATGTAGTTCCTCGACTCCATTTTCGTTAGCAGTGTTAGTCATGCTGTCACATTTGTTAAATTTTCTAATAAATTTGGGGAGGTGTCAACTTTAAATCCCTTGAATTAAATTTTAATGAGACGGCGTCTTGAGGAAAGAAGTCAAGCAGATCCTAATAAAGAATCCAAATCCTAATTAGAAAGCACTAATGGCACGTAATTAACAAAGCCCAAAATTTGTTACATTGCATTTGGATTAAAAAAAACAAAAAATAAAAAATAAAAAACAAAAAACAAAAATCGTTTGGAATTTGCTTGGGCAATAATTTTTGGTGTAACTAGATGTTTCCAAATACCATCCTAGATTCGTAGTCGTGACTCGTAACCAATGGGCCCAATTGCGCCAACAAAATATTTCCCTTGAATCCAACGGCCAAGAGCTTCGCTTCTCAATCTTACTCGGTCCATCCTTTATAAACCCTCACAAACCCACTAGGGACGGACCTAGGATTTGAAAATTGGGTGGGCTAAATTTACCTTACCTTACGTACAAATTTATTAAATTTCAATGGTTTCTGATCAGTGGCCCAAAAACTAGAAAATACCGACAAATTATTGATATCGGCAATTTGATAAAAAAGATTGAAATTGTGAGAAAAATATGGAAATTGTTATTGAAATTGTGAGAAAAATATGGAAATTGTTAGTGAAACTTTAGAAAATGTTACATATTATTTTAACACAAAAGAATTGAAAGAAATTTTTATATATAAAAAAGGAATTGAAAGAAATGTATTACGCAATGAGTTTGAGTGATTTAAGTGAGTATATTGCGAGTTAACATGTTAATGTATATTAATTAATGAAAGAGTATTAAAACAATATATAGAAGCAATAAATATGGTTGTGTGTTAAATATTTAAACAAAAGTTGTAGTAGTTTGTTGATTGAGTCTAGTGGGGATTGTCAGGATGGACACATGTTGGTTACAAAAATTACTTTTTAGCATTATTTTTTACTTTTTGGGTGGGCTAGGTATGATATTGTGGGCTGGTGAAAACAATAGCCCAGGTTAGTTCAAGAGTAGGTCCGTCCCTGAAACCCACAATAGTAGCCCAATACCACAAGCAACCACTTGTTTCTCTCTTCTCTCTTGTTGTCTCAATCTCTAGAAGAAGCATTTGCTCAGTGAGCAATTTTTCCCCAATATTCATCGGCTCCTTTTTACTTGCAATTTTAGGGCTCGTTATTTTGATATCAGTAAGTTCACCTCAAGTGTGTGGTTATGATAGATTTTGTTGGATTAGTTTTCATTTCATGTGCATTATGCTCCCGATTGTTGCCGTCAGGTTAAATATAACCAGAATTTCAAAAGCTATTAAAAACCTCATTTGAAAACTAAAACCTCACCCAAGTACAAATGTAGAGAAGAAGATCTCTCTCTCTCTCTCTCTCTCTCTCTCTCTCTCTCTCTCTCAAAAATCTCAGACCTCACTGAGAGAAGAAAATGCAGAGGAAGAAGAAGCTCTCAAATTTTCTCTCCTAAAGGAAGTGATGGCTACCATGTTGTAGCCTCCCTTTCTACCAAAATTAAGTCTCCTCTAAAATCCCCCAGTTGGCAGTCAAACATTGGCTTCATAATAAGACAAAGGAGGTACAGTTGGCAATAAAAACAAAATCTCATAGATAACTAGTCATATCACCTATTATTTAAATGAATTCAATGTATTTTTACCTTCAAGGATCTTGATTTCATGTGAGCTTTGACAAGATTTATCTCAACTTATGTAATCATCTTAAAAGCAGACTTAAACTAGCCTAAATTCCTTGAGTTTGATTAATTACATACAAGATTACAAGTTTATTTAGGAAAGCTAAAAGTATTACCAAAACAAAACCTAACATAAAGACATTAGCTCTAGAGATAATTCAATGGCTTCAGGTTAGTGTTTTTAGTTGTTTATGCCTAAGATTATCAAAATCAAAGACATACTCAAATCAAAATCGAAGTCGAACTCAAATCGAATTAAATTGACATCAAATTCGAAATGAAAAACGGAACCAGAGTTAGAGAAGCCAAAATCAAGAGCCCACTTGAATGGAGATATTTCCGTATGAAATCTACCTCCTTTCAAAGAGTGATTTAGGGAGGGAGAGAAAAGAATACGATGGTTGGATATGAGGACGCTTCTTTCTAAAAGAAGCTAAAAAAATTTAATTGGTCACAAATGTTGCAAAGAAGACATGTGAGGACACCGTACCATACCCACTTTATGTGTTTTAGTCACTAATTATTCAATTTAAACTCCATATATTGACTAAATTTAAAGTACCCACTACTTGTCAACATTAAAAAAATGAGCCGCAATAAATTTAATTTATTTATTTTGAATACAAGCGATAGCCTAAATTACAATGGAGAGAGGGATTCATACACAAACACTCACACACTACTAATTTGCGTCGCACCTGAGGTCAATAGTTTGCAAGTCAAAGCCCTTTTCCACTGTGCTAGACCCCGTTAGCAAGCACTAATAATTTTAATAACCAAAGGGCTACATCGAAAATGTGATAAAGAGGTTTGATATGGGTTCATGTAGTTTTGGTGATGTTCCTATCATGATATGATTGAGTGATTGATAGCTTGAGGTCTTTGATTTTTCTTTTAAATTTTGGTATTTTTTGCTTCAAAATTGGCTAATTATTCTATCACCTATTTCGCTACGACTACAAATCAACTTCCAATAGGGTAATTACATCCAAATTTCTCATCTTCACACCCATCATATTCCGAAGTGTATACTATTTAATTGACTTAACAAGTGTTTACGTTATAGGCTGCGGATACGACCTAGTTTCATGGTCTCTTCCCCTCTAACTACTCCAATTCTTAACAAAGAGTTTGGAAACATCCTTCGAAGCTGAAATTAATGCATAAGGTACAAGTTTTCCTTCGGCATGTGCTAAAAAATGTTCTTCCATGTCAAGTTGCTCTAGTAGGTTGACAAGTGATACCCTCTGGCGTTTGTTCTTGTTGTTTGAGAGTTGATGAAGATTTGTTGCATTCGTTGTGGTCTTTTAAGTTTGCATAATAGTTTTAGAATTGTTCTCCTCTGTGCCAAGCAACAGTATTTTCTTTCATGAATATCTTTTATCATATTTGTATTATATTTTAGGAGGAGGATATATATTCATTTGCAGTGATAGCTTGGATGATTTGAGCATAGAGAAACATGAGCCTTCATGGAGGCTTAATGAGAAAGCCTAGACACATCACTAGCCTTCTATAAGAAGAGTGTGTTGATCTAAGTACAGCTGCTAAGCTATCTCATGTAGTTTCTTGTTGTTAAGCCCCTTGAGGAGGATTTGTTGGAATTAAATGTTGATGAGGCATATTGTGTGGTTGCGAGAAAGATGGGGTTGGGAGCAATAGTTCAAAATGCCCATGGATAATTAATAGGTGCCATGACTAAACCTATAATTGATTGCCTTTCCAAACAAACAAATTTTTTTTTTTTTTTTTTTTTTTTTTTTGTTTTCTAAAGAAAAGTTTTTTTTTTTTTTTTGTATTATATTAGGTTAGTAAGGGCCGGACTTTATGGGGAATTTATTAAATTTTTGGATTGGGTTGGGCAGGGCCAAGGTTTCAAAGATCTTGGCATGGGTCGGACTTTTTTTTTTCAAAGTCTTTTAATTTTCTTTTGGTCAAAAGTGATGGATAAAGACTATTCTCTTAAAAAATAGTATAGATTACTACATAACTTAAGAAAACAAAAACATTAACTCTTTGACTAAACCCAGACCAATAACCAATATATTTAAAAAATATTCTTCCTAAAAATGAATCTTATGAAAATATTAGCCAAACTCTTTGCAGTTTTTTTGTCTCTCCTCTCTCTCTCTCTCTCTCTCTCTCTCTCTCTCTCTCTCTCTCTCTCTCTCTCTCGTCTCTCTCTCCTGCCTCTCTCCTTTTCTTGTGATAATTTCAATTTGGGAATTAGGGTTTCTTATTTTTTTATTTTAATTTCAATTTTTTTCTAGATCTTAAAAATAGTTTAGAGTTCAATACTAAACAAGTTTTTAGATCCTAAAATAAGTATTTAAAAACTCATATTTTAACAAAAATCATAAGTTTTGAGTTAATTTTTTACAAATTTATAAATAAACCCAATCCTAGACATGTATTTATAGAAAAACCCAAGCACTATTTAAACATAGAAACACACCCAAAATCAACCCCAAAGTCAACTTTTTGGGTGCGTAAATGGATTTTGAGTGTGTGTAATGATGGGTTTTGGGTGTGTTTATATGTTTAAATAGTGCTTGGGTTTTTTTATAATTTAAGCCCCCATTTTGGATGTTTTAATGAAACTCTCTTAATTTTTTTAAAGTAGGATACCAAACGGGCCCCAAATTACAACTACTCATATCCTAAGTTGGGAGGCTGTAATTAATCAATTGGTTTTTAGCTTTCCTTGACATGTGTATAATTTCTTGTAATAAGCTTCCTCAAAGGGATTTAGATTAGTTTAAGGTTGATGGCTTATTGTGGACCTCACAGAAAGATTGTCACATTGGTTTCTCTTCAACAAGGTGGCAATGACATTTTTCAATAAAGGTAAAATCATGCATTGCATTGCATCTTTGGTTGCTAGTCCACTGAGATGACCTGTCATCCTGATGGTACAATTTTACTGTTTATGCCAACTTTTACTCCTCTGTCCAGGGTTTTTTTTTGGTGGTCTTATTTGATAGCCAATATATTGCTGACAATTGTAATTAAATTTTTTTTTTTCCTAGGGCAGCCTTTTACTCTCCTTGCTATAAGGAGGCAAATTTTTAAGGTGCTATCACTTCACAAAATATACCTTGCACTTTTGGAAAGTTTGAAGGCTCAATATTTTCTCTGTGCTTTTCTTTGTGAAGGCTGTGAGGTTGCATTCATGAGATTTTATGAAAAACATAAAATATGCTTGTGATCACTAGCTATATCTGCATCTAGATGTCCTAAATCATATATATCATTCTAGATCTAGAGTTTAGATTTTAAGATTGATATTCTCTCCAAGAATGGTTTCTTGAGAACATTGATCCTTTCTTAAATCTACTGCATTTGTTTGAGTAGTGTTGTGCTACTGGTGCCATGAGATGATTGAGCTAAAGGATGAAGCTTCCATTTTCATGATAGACTATCTGCAAGCAATGTTGTTGAGAAGAAGAAGATAAATTGGAGAGGTATAACTGCTCTGTTGATCTCTGTAATTATTTCTTCTTGTTAGTGGATTGCCAGGTCAGCGTGATGACCCCCAGTTTTTCCCAATGGTGGGTTTCTAGGTAAACATTTTTACTGTGTTGTTCTTACTGTTATGATTAGTCATACTATACATATTGTTGCCGAAATGTTGATGAATGATTCTCACACACCTATCACTCTAGTTGTTGCTAGCACAGGGGATGCCTAGATTGACGAGTCCTTCTGAGTGCCTAGGTTGTCATGTAGTCTTTTTCTAGATCTGCAAGGGGTATGCAATTTGTGATTAAATTTGTATGTTTGGTTGTTCTGCGTTCTTAGGTCTGTGACTTGGGATTGGCTAGTCACAGATTGGTTAGGAATATTTTGTTGTCTGATTCGTGCATGTTCGATCTGTCCATTGGGGTGTCTTAGTTTACCCCCTTCACCTAAGTACCGATTTCATAAATTACACTACACCTAAATTTGCAGAGAATAAAGATAAATAATGAATTTGAAGATTTGGTGTTGACGCACTTTCCTTCTTCGTTACTATTTATAAGGTTGAATTTCTACATTAGGACTAAGAAATACAATTCAATCAAGAGCTTAGTTGGTTATAGTATCGTTGAATTTTCGATTGATGATTTCATTTCATACACACAAAACTTAAGCGCCATGCATTTGTTGATGGTCACTATTATTTTATTACAAAACTAAGCTAGAATATACAAACATATACATGATTGTGAAGGGAAGGTTTCAGTTAGAGCGTTTACATTAATGAGGCCGTGACTTTCTATTGGATCATATGTTTTCTTGGCTGAAATATAAGACTGGAACAATATGTTGACAAGAACATATCGGACAAGAGTGGATATTGCAAAAAAAGGAACAAGACCACTGGAACAAATGCAAATATAAATATAAAATCCGAGATGAAACCTAATCCGTAGTGACGAGATAAATAGAAGGCTGTGCTGAAGGCTATCATCATGGATGTCATGGAGATGAAGAGTGATGCGAGTCCTACCATTAACTTCAACGGTAAGGATTTGAGAAAATCATTTTCTGCATACCGCGAGGTGAGGATGTACAAGAACATCAGCATGGAAGTTGAAGAGGAAAAGAGGGCTACTCCGCTTGGTATGCTAAATGCAGCCGAAAACACGACAGTGGCAATAATGGTTGCGACAAGCATGCACGATTTTGCAGTGTTCTTCATCCATGATTCTCCTTTATGCAATAACCCCTCATGTTCACTGGTGAATAATTCTCTCGGTGTTTTGCCATTCTTATTTTTCATCTCTGTAGAGAGAGGTTGCACAATCTTTTTAACTTCCTGCATATGGAAATATTAATGCATATAAATGCGTATTTGCTAAAACTATGCACTAAATTATGAACCCTTGTAATTTGAGTCACACCATATGAATGTGTTACGATCACAGAAAACGCATCTCAAATGTAAGGCTCAAACATTGGCAACATTATAAGTATCTTATAAGAAAAAAATACAACAATGGTAAAGAATGCAAGGATAGAAGCAGAAGTACCTCAAACCATACTAGCTCTCGCTGCATTTGAAGAGCTGCTCCTGACACAAGATTGAGTTGATTTTGAGGTGCTAATTTTGCAGCCAGATGTAATATGTTGTTATCCTCATCATCACTCATTGCAGTTATGAAGTCCTTGATAAAGCCTATCTCATGCACTAGATTGAAGATACTTGCATGACGATGCAAAACTGCAACATGGATTATACTCCATTTGTTTTCGTCGAGTTCCCAGAATAAATCAGGATAAGCGCTTAAAAGCGCAGCCAGGAATTCGAAATTTCCTAATCTTGTAGCTTCAAATAGTAGTTGTGAAGGATATTTTATCAAGCTCATGACCACTTGGTCGTCAAGTTTTAAGATTTCTTTCCAAAGCTGTTGAACTAGTTGAAGGGCTTTGGTTTGCTTCGAGTTTCCCTTGTATGCAAACTTCTGAACTGAAAGTACGTACTTACGATGAGAGTGTCAGAACAATAAAATCCCAAGGTCAAGTATGCATAATAATCACAGATAGTTACAATAACTTATTAATTCAGGTGTGAAGTTTTATGTTATATACGATCAGGCGCTCCTTCTGGGTTTGGATCCCATTCCGGATGGGGGTTAGTAATAAAAACCCTAAGCAATAGCTTTCTCTTGTCATGCCGCTTACTCTCTCTCTCTCTCTCTCTCTCTCTCTCTGCATTTTACTTAGTAATTTGCACATGACAAAATAATAGTGATCATATCACACAAAATAAGTGCTTACTTCCACTTAATTAGGTAATTATTACTACATATATTGTTAATGTATGGTTTTTACTATTTTCTTTTGGCTTCCCTTGACAACTTTGTAATAGAATGTGTGTTGTTATTTATCAAGCTCAAGTTTAGATTAAGGAAAACCTTTCCTGGTGCTCTTCTCTAACTTCTGTTGTATGGAGGTTCAAGCAATTTGACAAAGGTATTGTGCATTGCATATCATTTCATAAAACAGTCTTCATAAAAATGATGACTAGTCATCCGTTTCTCAAATGACTAGTCATCCTTGCTCTGTAGAATCTCCAGCTGGATAACAAACTGTTTTGTCCTATTCCTCTTTCTCTCTCTCTGCTGCCATCTGTGTTTTCTGACCTAAGGAATTTTTTGGCTGTAAAGGCTACGTTTTTGGTCATTTGGTGGTTGTCTCTTTTGGGTGGAAGTTTTGGAAAGTTTGGCTTGCCATCTTTCGCTTCTTCTTCCTCGAGAGAACCATCTTATTTCATCTATGAGTTTTTCCAATTGATTTCTTTTTGAAAAACTGCATTTGAAACACAAATCTGCATCTAGCTACTTAAATCATTCTATCATTTATATCTAGGTCAGATTCAAGATTGATTTCTTCAAGAGTATGGTTTCTTGAAGAAATTGGTCATTCTTCTTTGAATCCAAATTTTGGTTTCGGTTTGTGTTGGAGCTTGAAAGCTAGTGCCATGGGATGAACGAGCTGGAGAAGGAGCTGCCATTGCCATGAAGAACTGAGCTTCAAGCTTTGCTAAGTTGGAGAAGAAGATTGCACAAAGGAGGTATAGCTCATCTTCCTAAATAGATCTAGGTTTTTCTTGAGCTTGCTTGTGTTCCTTTGTAAGAATCTTTTTCTACTTAGTGGATTGCCTGGTCGGTTGATGACCCCCAGTTTTTCCCAATGGTGGGTTTCTGGGTAAACAGTTTCTGGTTTCCAACTCTGTAAATTTTCTGGGTTTGTGTTCTTGATAGTTGACTAGTCATCTGGGTTTGTGCAGTTGACTAGTCATCTTTTTCTGCTGTTTGGTGTTTGCTTGATTCTGCTGTTTGGTCTTCACACACTTTCACCATAGTTGTTGCTAGCACATGGGATGCCTAGATTGACGGGTCCTTCTGAGTGCCTAGGTTGTCACTAGTAATTCTCTAGGCTTGCAGGTACATCTTGGTGTGCTCTGTGTATGTTATTGTTTGGTATAATTCATATATGACAGTTGACTAGTCATAAGAGTATTTGGTCAAGGTCTAGAGTGTGTGAAGTTTGCTGCGTTCTTGGTTGAATATCTTTTAAATTTACCCCTCGTCACCTAAGTACCATTTTCATATATATGTCCATATATTATAATTTTCTATCAATTAACTCACATGAATTGGTGATTCTACTCCACAATCCTGAACTTTGGCTAGCAAATTCTGAAGGCCTTCGAGCCAAGACATGCAAGGCTGTTTCATTTTCCCCATTACGAACCGTAGCTAATGCTGTATAATTTCCTAACATCTTCATGGCTAAATCTGCATAATTTACAAAGTAACTTTGAAAATTCAGCCAATGTGAAGTAATTTATTAATTAATTACTTGTGTGTGCCATTAGTTTTCTCTAGGAAACAAAGAAAATTATAAAATCAAAAGCATGAAATGTTTTGTTTACCTACCATAGAGACCTGTATCGACACAAGTAAAAAACAGCGCATTGCGGTCCCTTTCGTCAAATATTTCATAAGTTTTAGGGTACAGGTACTCCACCATTTCAGACTGTCCCAACAAAGCAGCCATATATATTGGTGTCATTCCTTCACCCCCTCGGATTGTTGGTAACAATATATTTTTTGGACCATAATCTCAGCAATTTCTACCATTCCAGCTGCAGCGGCAAAACTCAATGCGGTATTTTTGTTATTGTCTTGCAGTGCTAAGTCTTCTGCATCCATAATTTGGACCAGTTCCTTCACAAAGTGAACATGTCTTGCTCCTGATGCAATGTGAAGGGCAGTTTCCCATCCCTTCGTTATGCTAGCAGTTAAAAGTTTCTCATCCTCACTGAGAATGCTTTTAGCAGTTGTCCAATCACCTCTTAGAGCAGCTTTATGGAGAGACACACATAACCTAAGATACTTTTCTCTTGCTTCTCCTGTGTGTAGAATTTAGAGATGAAGAAATGTTGGCATGTTTAATTAATTTGTTGAGTACCATGCTGATCACAAAAAAGATCACAAAGTCAAAAACTCAAAAACAGAATTTGAGTTCAAAACTCAAAAATTCTGTTTGGTAGACCTAGTTTTGAAAACTTCAACTCAAAAATACCTCAAAACACCCAAATACTTGAAAACAGAACAAATATGTTGTTTTAGAATTTTTTTTTCTTTCTAAAACATGTTTTCGAGTTGCATACCAAACAACTTTTTAAATTTAAATACATGGATCTTAGAACTCCTTCGTTTTGAAGTTTTTGAGTTCTCTACTTGAATATAGGATACCAAACAAATTTTTGAATCTTAAAAAATGGATTTGAGAACTCCTTGTTTTAAAGAAAAATCAAAGTTTTGAGTTCTCTACTTGAATAGGATACCAAACGCTACAAACTCTAACAAGATTCAAATATATAGCATGTTGTTCTCAAATCTCAAGCCATTTAACAATATATGCTATTATCTTTGTGAAGATGGAGGAAGTTCAAATTATAAAATACTATTGTAATATTCCTAATAATGGTTGTGGGAGAGTTCTCTCCTTACTATGTGTTGTGGGATGTTATCCTTAATATGGGTTGTGTAATATATCATAATTTTTTTTAGTAAACTAAGTTGTTTGGTAACGTTTTCGGAGAATGTTTTCTGAGAATGAAAACAAAAAAATAAATTTGCATTTTCAGGATTCGAGAATGCTTCTGGTAGATTAATTGAAAAACTGATTTAGAAAATAAAAACAGTGAAAACGCATCTGGTAGTACAATTTGAAAATAACTTCATTTTACTTTATTTTTTCATTTAAATGCATTGTGATTTTTCAAAGTTAATATCTCATTCATAATATATATATATATATATATATATGTGATTACAACAAACAAAATATATTATAAAAAATATATATAATTCTATTGTTAAAAAAGTCTAAAATTATCCTACTTTCTCTCTTTCTCTCTCTCTCTCTCTCTCTTTCTCTCTCTGTTTTTTTTCTTCTTCTACTGGAGGAGTGGTAAGTGAGTTTTGTTGGGTCTCAATTTCTAGATCTATGGTGCATTCTTTAATAAATTTTCTAGTTTTTTCTCCGGCAGGGATTGTGGTCCCTATGGAGGTTGACGACAAAAATTTCAGAGAGGCAAAAACATAGCAATGAAATCGAGGGCCAAAAGGTTCTCAATTTGCATGTGAAATCTACTAGTCCACCAAAGAATTTTGATCGGAGTTGGTCTATTTTGTTGGGTCGGAGAAGATGGGTGTTATCCATGGTGGTGTTATCCCATGTCTTTAGAAAACACTGAAAACGACTTTTTTTCGTTTTCAATTTGTGCACATGGGTTTGGATTTGTTTTTAGAAAACGGATTTGAGTGTTTTGGGAAAACACTCTACTGAACATGTATTCTGTTAAAATTGAAAACGGAAAAGGAAAATGGAACCGTGAAAAAGATACCGAACGGCCCCTAAGTTTGGTGCTTAATTAAAACAACTTCTTTTGATATAAATAGTTTTATTTTTTAATTTTTTATACAAGCAAGATTGAGGATGGGTAATCCAACACAACCTCAGGTTGTCAGGTGCATAGACAAAGGCTTTTAAATTTATTAACCACAAATAAATGACATAGTTGCATTATTGTAATTTTAGAAAATGTATGGTCTATACCTAGCCAAATTCTTAACAATTATGTCATGCAATACACAAAAATCTTATTTGTCATAAAAGAAGGGACTAGCAATAATCGTGTGTATGGACATGATGAGAGAGAGCGAGAGATATTACGTACCATTATTTTCTAGTAGATGCAGTGAAGGTGTCTTAGGTTCAGTCAAATTGGTCATTTGGATCACATGATGTGGTGGAGACTGAATGCCTAGTCCTGTTGTTGAAGCGCCAGCCATTAATCGGATTTCAGCTCCTGGTACATGTTGTGCTTGTGGGCTAGACATGCTTACCAAATTAATCTGTGTAGCCATACGCACGCGTGCACCTGCACAAAATAAATAAATAATAAAAACTTAAATTAGTAGGTTGTTATTTTGTATTAGTAGGTTCTCATCTAAGTGATTATATTTTAACTAGTACTTTCTTTGATAATTATTACATAACCGACCCTAATTAACAAAAGCTGTGGTCCGGTGAGTGGATCCCACATGATTTGTATTGGTGTGCCCAATTTGCATGCTAGACGTATAGAAGAGCTTAATTATTCTTGAATTACTTGAATTAAATAAAGAGTAATTAATAAAATGGAGTCAAATTATGCTTTTGTTTTCTTCATCCATTTTAGTCGTTCCTCTTCTTCTTCTTCTATTTCACTTTACACAGGGGAGGGAGGATCAATAAAAACAAATACAGATAATGGAAGTGAAAAAGCAAAAGAGCATGAATCATGTCCGTTCAAATAATTAATAAAAAAAGATGAAGAAAATATCTTCCACGTCGATCATTTTTTCCAAATATGCAGACCCAAGAAAGAAAGAAAAAAAAAACAGGAAAACAGGAAAACAAAAAACTTGAAGAATATGCATGCAAACAAGAGCGGATCTACGAAGGAGCTAACCGGGCTTTAGTCCAGTGCTCATTTTGTACTTTAGTTTAGTCTTTATTGTACAACAAAATCCACTAAAATTAAATTTTAGTCTACTTATCTTTTAGAATTCAATCTATTCTAACCATCCAAATCCGATTTTATTTTCTTCTACCCACTGAAATTCTACCATATTTTCTATATATAAAAAAATATAAACCTACCATATAATATTAGTTTGCCCGGAAAATTCCTTGTTATAAAAGATCTCTCAAAAAATAAATAAAAATTTAGTCACTCCTAAAAAAATTCCTGGTCCGCCATGCAAACTTTCACACTATAGGTCAAAATTTGGCCCATATAACAAGAATCGATATGAAATTTGTCAACAGACCATCAAAGAATAAGTGTGGGAGTTTTGAGAGACAGATCAAAAACTAATTAACAGGAGGAGTGGATAAGTTGGTTACTTACAAGACCAATATATACGGGAGTTTCTAAGCTAAGCAGCCGCCAGCACCACCCTTGAGAGAGAGAGAGAGAGAGAGAGAGAGGGAGAGAGATTACCACTCTTGTCCACTCTTGAAGCTTATTATATATATAGGAAGGGTTTCGAAAGTCTTGAAGCCAAACAGAACTACTTTCACTCTCTCTCTCTCTCTCTCTCTCTCTCTCTCTCTCTCTCTCTCTAGCTTTGCTTAGTGGGAAACTTGAAGACATTAAGGGCCAGTTTGGCATTGCTGTGCTGTGAAAATAATCGCTGTCAGATTTGCTGTGAGAGAAATCAGCTGTGAGAGAAAGTAGTTTGGTGTTTGGTAAAATTTTTGTTAAAAGTGTTGTTGGTATTGATTTTACGTATAATAAAAAAATAATTGCCGCATAATCATTAAACCCAGCGCCTCTTCGAAACTGATTCCTGCATAATCAGAAAATGAAAGCACCTCATTAGTTGCTTTCCCTTATAGCTTTCTCTCACAACAATTTTTAACAATAAGTGATTTTCTTACAGTTTACCAAACGGATTGAGCTTCTCAAAATTTTTAAAAAATCACTTATTACCCCAAATAAGTAATGCCAAACTAGCACTAATAATTGGTCTCAACTCTCAACGGGAAAATATTATCTCAAAGACTTGGTACGTGGCTGGCTATAGTTTCAACTTTCACTCCAAATATATAATATATTTAGTGTTTTGTTTTATGTTTTTTTAAAGGGTAAAAAATTGTCAGAAAATATAAAGTTACCCGGGGGGCGTGGAAAAGTAGTGCTCTTGAACGGCTTGACTAGTCGAGTGGGCTCCGTACTCTCATTTCAGGTGGAAGAAGAAGACGCTCACTCACCACCACCACCTAATATTTAACAAAGAGGAAATGATATTATATTGTCGGTGGTGAGGCAAGAGTCAAAAGACACTTGACCAAAGCTGAATATAATTGAAAGGAAACTTGCAGGAAACTTCCTCAAAAGACATGTCTATTTGGAGCTAAGTGATATTTAGGTCCCCACACGTGAAGGCAAAACCCACGCATAGACAATCACAATTGTACAAAAACATAATAATAAATATGGTAATTTTCACTTTCATACGGTAAAATTTATTAACTTTGTGTATGTGACTGAGATGAAATAAAGTTAATGTATTGAACTCTAAAAATTGGTAAACTTTATCGTAATAAAATGAAAATTCCCTAATAAATACATAGCAAAAGGTAAAAATATAGACATGTATATATGGCTTTCCCAATCTCTGAGGAGGCCACACTCACAGCCGCCTCTAAAAGAAGACAATCTACCGAAAAGAAACGAGGAATATTGGGAAAAAAATAATATAAGAGAGAGAGAAAGTGGAAGTCTTGGCTGCGATGATCATATGGTGATTCTTCTTCTTCCGGTTGGTGCAAAAAATTTGACAGAATATTTGTTTGCATATATATATATGGCCTATTGTAATTGTTAATTGGTTTGTGAATTTATTATTTTAATGTTAAAATTCTTTTTTGAAAAAGATAAAGGCGTTTAGCTACATTCGGGAAATCTGTGGAAAGTTTGAATATAAAACATTATTTCTACCTCGTCTAAAAGACGTAAGAGCAACTCCACCCATTTGACCTTTGCCATGGCAAAGGGGGGATTATGGCAGCTACTATTTATGTGAATAGTGGCTGCCCTTGCAAAAAGCAAAGTGTGTTTCTACCCGTTGTCATAGCAACCACTATTCACATAAGATATGAAAAGAGGAATTTGTATAGAGTTTTGATGTGGGAAGTGAAAAATATGACTAAGTATTTATTTTTAAAAAATTCTGAAATTTTTAGTACTTTTAAAATTTTTTTTGGTTGCTGACGTCAGCAAACCCAGGCTGGATTGAGGGCTGATTTTGCATGAGGGCCAACCCAGGCTTGTGGAGCCCACCCACAGCCCGAGTAGTATTTGTCCGCTGGAAGGCAATTTTGGGCCTAAACCCCCCTTTGCCCGGGCACGCTGGAGTTGCTCTAATGGCTCACTTGGGTGGAGTATGGGTGGACCCCATTGTTTAAGAGGCTACACACTAGGTAGGCAGTGGAAAAAAGAGTGTTGCTATTTCCACCACTCTGTCCTATTTTTTCACCCACTATATTTTCTCACCTACCATGTGTTCACCCACTTTGTTTTTGCTCTTGTGATGGAAGAGTAAAATTCCCCACTGCCTTGGAAACCATTGACTGGTCAACAAGTCAGCTTTCTTTGGTGTGCAAACGTGCCACTGCTAGTCTTGAAAATCCTAGCAGACTTCTTTAAAATGGATAACTTGCGCCCCAATTTGTGTACCTTAAGGCTCAGCGCATTAACGACAACTCTTGTTTAAGGGGATTGCACATGCATCTTTATGCTACAAGCGACTCATGCTTTAAAAACAGTGTGTCCTATAACTTCTTCTAAGTATCGAGCAGGAAGTCCATGCGAGGTCCTAATAAGACACATGCTCAAACCCTTTTAGCACACTACTGTAAGGTCGAAAACGATGTTTCCTTTGCAAAACATCTTCAGTAGTTGAGTCTGCCAACTCATAATTGAACCACTCTGGCCAGCCCTTAGTGATGCTGCAAGGGTATTGAAAAAATCAAGTGGCCGCCGGAAACATGCATTTCTTCTATACAACACCTGGAAATGAGAGTAGCCTCCAAATCTTACCTAGTGCCTATGATCAAGTCTTGGCAGGTGTTTCTAAGCTATGAAGGTAGTTGTCCCTTTTTCAACCCATCGTGCAAGGGAAAATAGACCATCACTCATCACAGAAGTCATTGTGACTTATACGTGAATCCCTACAAGAATTGCCTGCAAAGAATATGCTGCAAAAGGGCAAAGCACAAAGTTAGTTCTCTATGTTAAAGCCAAGCAATCTATATATATATATATATATATATATATAAACATAAGGTCAATAATTACAAAATATAATCTAAAGTTACAAAATTACATGCAATGCCATTGTTTCAAGATTTTAATAAATTCATTTAAAGTCAATCACTTGTCATTTGTTTGGCAATTATTTCCGGTTATTAATTTCAATATATGTGAATGATTGTGGTTGAAAAGGCTTATGGGACTGGGAGGTAATTTGGTTACATGAAGGAGCAAGAAACAGAAGGTGGTCGCCTTATCCAGTGCAGAATCCGAGTTTAGAGATATGACCAAAGGAATTTGCGAACTCATTTGGTTAAAGAGGTTGCTTACTGAACTTTGATATAAATCTACATATGTAATGAATCGTCTTTGTGACAACAAGGCTGCAATAGCTATTGCACAGAATCCAGTTCAACATGATCGCACCAAACATGTTGAGGTAGATCGACACCATATCAAACAGAAGCTCGAAGCTAAAGTGATTTAGTTTCCTTTCGTAAAGTTCGAGGATCAATTTGAGGATATTTTGACAAAGGCAATTTCCAGTAGAGCAATCCACAATTCACTGGACCAGTTGGGCATTGGCAACATCTATGCACCAATGTGAGGAAGAGTGTTGGCGTGACTTGTGGACCATTGACTTTCTTTCCTTACACACTAAGGATTCTCATTATAATTATATTTGATTTACTTTAATTTCTGATTTCCTACTGTAAATAGAAATAGAAATTTATTATTTACTTGGCTACTAAGGCTCTATTGTATTATAAATATGACCTCCTATAAGGAGAGGAATATACAGAAAATTCCCACAAACAAATATTCTCATATTAGGTTTCATATTTTAGCAGGTTTTAAATACGATCTACAAGAAGAGCAATGGTGACTATGGCCTTGAAATAGTCAGATCTTCTATTTCTCCATCTTCGTACGAAGTATTACTCAAAGACCCTAAATCCCAGAGAAAGGTAATCAAGTTTTAGCCAATTAAGAGACAAATGTGAGGGGCTAAGATAGAGAAATCTAAGGCTGAGAGAGAATAACATGATGGAGTCTGAACAGACGAGGGTATTTTGGCGTTTCAGAAAATAAAATAAGGGTATTTTCGCAATATCAAAACCTTCATTAAAGGGAACCAAATGCTTCCTCTGTATTTGCGTTGTATTTGCTTGGTACTTAATGAATTGATTTGTGCCATATCTAAATTAGACTACTTAATTAGCTTGGTACACTTCATATATATATATATATATATATATATATGTCGAATGTATACTCACAAATGTAACTTATTATCTTATATGTAATTCATGCTCAAAGAAAGACTCAAAATATTTCCTTATTGTGTCTAGCGTTAACATACGACCCCAAAAAAGACGAGTGTTTCCAGAATATTAAGTAGATTGCAGAGGTTCAAACATTCAAGATTCAAAATTAGTAGGAAAAAAATGCATATATAGGATTATGAAATTCTAATAACAACTCATCTTTCGAACTGTAGTAATCTAAAACCCCCTTTCAGACGATGTTGTTGATTCAAGCACACAAAGTACGAAGACTAATTGAATCAATATCACCATTACTAAAGTACTTTATTACAAATTTTTCCTAAATTATCATGCATAGATACACATTATTCTGGGGGTAAGGTTGAACATTGAGGACTTGGCTTTCTATTGGATCATATGTTTTCTTGGCTGAAATATACGACTTGAATAATATGTTGGCAAGAACATATCGCACAAGAGTGGATATTGCAAGAAAATGAACAAGACAACTGGAACAAATGCAAAAATAAATATAACATCCGAGACAAAACCTAATCCGTAGTGACAATATAAATAGAAGGCTGTGCTGAAGGCTATCATCATGGATGTCATGGAGATGAAGAGTGATGCGAGTCCTACCATTAACTTCAACGGTAAGGATTTGAGAAAATCGTTTTCTGCATACTGCGAGGTGAGGATGTACAAGAACATCAGCATGGAAGTTGAAGAGGAAAAGAGTGCTACTCCATCTGATATGGCAAAGATGAGAAATGCTGTATCTTTTAGGAATTTTGGTGCTCCTGTATTATCAGCTATACCACCTGGTATGCTAAATGCAGCTGAAAACATGACAGTGGTGATAATGGTAGCAACAAGCATGCACGAATTTGCAGTGTTCTTCATCCATGATTCTCCCTCACACAATAACCCCTCATGCTCACTGGTGAATAATTCTCGAGGTGTTTTGCCGTCCTTATTTTTCATATCTATGGACAGAGGTTGAACAATCTTTTTCACTTCCTGTCATAGGAAAAATCGATGATGAAAATTGAAGGACATAAAGATTTTACGCGCAAATGATTGAAACTGTTTAAAATAAATGTAGAGGTAATAAGGAGGCCACCAATACATTCTATCAAGAGCTTTCTTTTCATCCCAATCAATTTCATTAGACTTAGATTCAATGTTATTTTATATTGTGCAACGCCTTTTGACAGCTGCTACTATGATAGATAAGAGCTTTTTAAGTGTTTGTAATTTAGTCTCCACTTTGTGTTATTGGAATTGGAAGATATTATGAGTTCGAATCTCGTTGTTGAATAAAAAAGAAATGTTTACAAAAAGGGCAATAATGTTTAAAAGAAGACATTTAACACATAATACAATGGTAAAGATTGTAAGGGTACAAGGAGAGGTACCTCAAACCATACTAACTCTCGCTGCATTTGTAGAGCTGCTCCTGACACAAGATTGAGTTGATTTTGAGGTGCTAGTTTTGCAGCAAGATGTAAAATGTTGTTATTCTCATCATCAGTATATGTCACTATGATGTCTTTGATTAAACCCGTCTCATGTACTAAATTGAAGATACTTGCATGACGATACAAGACTGCAACATGGAATATAGTCCGATTTTCGTCATCAGTTTCCCATAGTAAATCAGGATAAGCATTAATAAGCACAGACAGGAACTCATAATTTCCTAATCTTGTCGCGTCAAATAGTACTTCCGAAGGTTCTGTGATGAGGCACATGACATCGTCATCGTCATGTTTCAAGATTTGATTCCAAAGGCATTCGACTAGGTCTAGGGCTTTAGTTTGCTTCAAGCTTTTGTACGAATCCTCAATGCCTGAGACTAATTAATTTTTATGATGTAAAAGGGTCAATAAACAACAAGAACAAGATTTCCAAATAAACAAAAACACACAACTAATTATACTACACATGTTAATATCATATATAATTTTCGAAGAATCAACTCACATGAGTTCATGAGCCTACTGCACATTCCTAAAGTACTTCGGCCACCAAATTCTAAAGGCCTTCGAGCCAAGACATGTAAGGCAGTTTCTGCATTGGAATTACGGGTCATTGCTAGTGTTGTATCATCTTCTAGCATCTTCATGGCTAAATCTGCATAATTTCATAGGGATATAAGAAAGAAAGAATGCAAAGAATTTTGAAATAAACCAGTTGTAAAATTTTATTATTAATTAATTCCTCCACTTCTAAGTGCGCATAAAAATATAGAAGAGATCTTCTTATAGACTTGCTGACTAAAATTCAACTGAATTAAAGGGTACATAACCTTTAGGCAAAAAAATTTACAATTAAATTACTAGAATGGGTGGAACTGGTTCTACTACATCTAAGTCAAATAATCTAAGATATGAGTAAAAGAAAATATAAATTAATTTTTTAATATTTAACAAGCTCCACCATTAATTTGATAACTGCTATTAAAAAACAAAAGAGAGAGAGAGAGAAAATAACATAAGGAAGAAGCATTTTGTGCAACTTACCATAATGACCAGTATCGATATAAGAAAAAAATAGAGCATTCTGGTTCGTTTCATTTAGTGTTGGATACGTTTTAGGGTATAAGTACCACGCCATTTCAGACCGTTCTAGCAAAGCAGCTATAAACAGTGGTGTCAGTCCTTTACCAGTTTCAATTGTTGGCAAGAACTTATTTTTTCTGAATCATAATCTTGGCAATTTCTATGGCTCCAGCTTCAGCGGCAAAACTGAATGCAGTGTTTTCTTTCTTGTCGTGAAGTGCCAAGTCTTCTTCATCCATCATTTTGACCAGTTCCTCCACAAAGTGAATATGTCTTGCACATGCTGCAATGTGAAGAGCAGTCTGCTAAAGGAACAAAATGTTTCGTGTTAATCCTACAGACAAGGACTTACAACCACGCAGAGTCCATTTTCAACAAGAATGCTGCTGCTTTTATCTTTGATAACTCAGGAGCATTTATCGTATCCAGGGATTAGGATTTGATTACTTTCAAAAGGGTTATTAAAAAAAAAGGAATTCTATTTTCCAATATACCGTACTTCCATTCAATTATACCATGCATGCATGTATCCTAGTGTTGTTATAGAGGTTCTTTTCATCGAACAGTTGGTCTGCAGTGTAACCACACGGCAAGTTTCACACAGAACTAGCAAGAGTAAGTCATAATAACAAATGAAATACAAATGCATAGACACATATATGAACAAACAATGGTACACATAAGCGAATCATAGTTTTGGATTTCTAAATTTTGCTTTAGTTTCTTTTGTTATGCTAGCACTTAAAAGTGTAGGATCGATAGATAAGATTCTTTTAGCGGTATCCCAATCACCCCTTATTGCAGCTTTGTGCAGGGGCACACATAAGTTCAAGTATGCTTCTCCTGTGTAGGATTTAAAGGAATCAAGTCATATGACGAATTAATTTGTGTTGAATGTTTAATTGTACGTACTCTTCTTCATATTAAACAGATATCATACGTACTTTTGCTTTTTTCTAGCAGATGACGTGAAGGATGCTTAGGCTCTGTGGAAGCAGGTGTAGATTGTGGTCCTGGGCTAGACATGGTTCCAAATATTTAAACTTGCTCAAATGCGTCGTACCTGCGCAAAAACTTGAACTATTCAGCAAGTAATTATATATTTCTAAATCAATAAGCTAGGTTAAAAGCAAGAAAGCACAATAAAACATAAGCCAGCTATTTCTACTACAATAAGGGCCCGTTCGGTATATTTTTAGAGCCTGTTTTCTGTTTTTGTTTCCTGTTTTTCGCAAATACACGTTTGTTCGGTGCATCGTTTTCATTTTTCCCTCACAAAATGTTTTCTGAAAACAAATCTAACTTTGTGAACAAAAAGTTGAAAACGATAAAAAGTGGTTCTAAAGACACGATAATGCATCCCATCAACAACTCTAGCTCTCTGTCTTGACAACTGATAAACCCACCAACAGGAACAACACCCATCTTCTCTGACCCAAAATCACACAAATCTGCACACTAAGAAAAAAAAACAGAGACTGGAAGAAGAACCATCACATACCCAGCTCAACCATCATCACCCAATCGAACCACTACATACCGAGCTCAACCACCATCACCACCCAATCAAACCACCACAACCATTAATTAGTGGAACGAGAGAGAGAGAGAGAGAGAGAGAGAGAGAGAGAGGAGAGAGAGAGAGAGATGGGTGGGTTTATGGGATTCATGCCATGGAAGGAAGGAGGAGTGGGTGCGGCCTGGGAAGGAAAGGAAGGAGGAGTGGGTACGGCCTGGGAAGGAAAGGAAGATGAAAAGAGGAAGAAAAGGAGGAAAAAGAAACGGCCTTGGGAAGGAAAGGAAGAAGAAAAGAGGAAGAAGAAAAGGAGGAAGAAGAAACGGCCTTGGGATGGAAAGGAAGAAGAAAAGAGGAAGAAAGAAGGAAAGAGAAAGAAAAAGAGAAAAAAGAAACGGCCATGAGAAGGAAAGCAAGAAGAAAAGAGGAGGAAAGAAAGAAAAAAAGAAAAAGAAAGGAGGAAGAAACATCCAATAATTAATCAAGACAAGACGATATTATACGGCCAGTGGCTTCCCCACTGAGAGGCAAGAGACAAAGAGGGTCGACCAAAGCTTATTATAATTGACTGGAAACTTGTTTGAAGCTTCCTAAGTTTCTAGGAATAGTTCAATAGTAGAAGAAGACAAGCTACCGAAAAGAAATGTGGACCTGGAATACTTCAAAAGTAGAAGTGATTATGTGAAACAATCAAGTTGAGAAATTTTATCATGTATATATATTCTTTTGTCTATTTTTGTTGTTGTTGTTAGATCTATGTTCAAAACGATTAGTTATTATTGGTTATAGTTCATGCGTTTGTAGATGATGCTTTAGGATGCTCTTTTTTTTGTTTTTGATTGTTGTGGTGTCTTTTTTAATCTTTGAGGAAAAAAATAAGAGAAAAACAACATTGAAAATTCAAATTTAATACATTATTCCCTTGGTAATTGAATTTCAGAATTTAAATTTTACATTATTTCTTTGATAATATTTACCTAATATATGGATAAAATATAATTTAATCAAGGAAAGTAAAGACCAACATATTATATCAATCGATCTAGTAAGCATCCACATGAAATTATGTAACTATGCATCAGGTAATATGTGGATCTCATTAATACAACCAACAATAAAGAACGCCATAATAAAAGCAAAACAAAGACATGGGAAAATGGAGAAAGAAAAAGAGCCAACGTTATATGCATAATGCAACTTCTTAATTTGAAATTATGGTGATTTGTAGCAATGATCCCTCAACTATACTTGAAGTTACATTTTGGTCACTCAACTCAAATATTAGTTACAGAGATCACTTAATTGGGTGTTGTGTTGCACCATTAGTCTCTACCATCAAGTCTGTGACTTTTTCTGTTTAAAATGATGACGTGACAAGCATCTCTTAGATTATTGATGGGCAAATGTGACTTTTCAGTTAGGATTATTTGTAGCAATGATCTCTCAACTATACTCGGAGTTACATTTTGATCACTCAACTCAAATATTAGTTGCAGAGGTCACTCAATTGAGTGTTGTGTTGCACCATTAGTCTCTATCGTCAAGTCTTTCTAACGGTAGGGACTAATGGTGCAACACAACACCTAATTGAGTGACCTCTATAACTATTTTTGGAGTTGAGTGACCAAAATGTAACTCCGAGTATAGTTGAAGGATCATTGCTACAAATAACCCTTTGAAATTAATATAATGCTATTAATTTTGATCATGAAGGCTAGGTCTCTTCACTTGGCCCACGGGCTCATGGGCCGATGGGGCCCGCCGAGCCTAGCTCGTTATGGGCTTTGGGATAGCCTAGCTCGCATTGGGCTGGGCTGGGCTTGGGGTTGGGTGTTTGAAGCCTAGCCCGATTAATCCCAAGAAAGCCTGGCCCAGCCTGCCCATAAAAGCCCGGCCCGTTAGGCCCACATACATATATAATTATGTATAAATAAGGGTTTAGGATTAGAATTATATCACTTGAATCACAAACACTCTTCTTTCATTTTTGAGTGTGTTACTTGTTTGAAACATTGTGTTTGGTTCCACTGAATTTTGCTCAATTTTATATCCATTTTTTATATTTGGTTTGCATTGTGTTCTTCATTTTTCTGTGCTAACACAAAATTTGCATAAACGATTGAAAAGTTATTGGTAAAAAACTGGACAGATGTCGAAACTGAAAAACAGAGGAAGTTCATAATTCGTCTCTGAATAAAACGTGATAAACTGGTGCTACCATGGTGATATAGTGGCAATACAGTGGTGATAAAGGGGTGATAGAAATCGTTATTCGTGTTTATTTTGGGTTTCTTGTTTTGTTTCATTTCATTTACTTTTCCTTACTCATTCCTAGTTTATAATTGGATGATTAGCACATTAATTTGTGTCAATTATTAATACAACAATTATATAAATCAAGAATAAGATGAACAACATATCATATCACCGAACATAATTACACCACCAAATATAATCATGTTTTTCTTGAACCCATCACCAAACCTTCTCTTTTGGGCATTCTCCCTTTTTCTGCTTGACATGTGTCATTCTCTTTACAATTAAAACAATGTCATTAATATATTATACAAGTTAACTTTTGCTTTCCAAGTTTACCCTTATTAAATGTATTCAATTTATCCAAAAAAATTTCACAACTTTCTTACTATCTTATTATTAGTTTTTTAAATGTCAATTATTTTTTTAAAGAAAATGTCAGCATTTTTCAAAAAAGAGGAAATGTCCCTTTTTTTTTAAACACAAATGACTTTTTTTTCTTTCTATCTAAAACCTTTGTATTTAAAAGTCCTCTTAAAAGCACATATACGTTAGAAAAAAATTAATAATATGGTAAGAAAGTTGTGAAATTTTTTTGGATAAATTGAATACATTTAATAAGGGTAAACTTGGAAAGCAAAAGTTAGTTTGTATAATATATTAATGACATTATTTTAGGTATAAGAAGAATGACACATGTCAAGCAAAAAAGGTAGAAGGTCCAAAGGAGAAGGTTAGAGAGAATGTTGCTAGCATTCATGTTTTCATATTTATTCATATCATCCTTTAAAAAAAAAAAATATTTTTTTGATATGTATTATTTTTTAAAATTATTTCTTAAAACGTGTTACGGTCTAATTATGATGTAACTGAGTGCCTCTTTTTGAATGGTACATTCTTTCTTTCTCCTCTTCTTCTTCTTCTTTTGAAGTAGGTCCATTTGGCCCGCCCTGTTGGGCTTAGCCCGACCAGGCTCGATGGGCTTTCTCAAGCCCGACCCATGAGTCGGGCCTGGGCTTTGAATTTTCTAAAAAAACCAAGTTTAGCCCAGCCCGTTATTTTCTCTCTCCTCTTTAAAGCCCGACCCGGCCCCGCTCAAGCCCATTAAATTTGGGCCGAACTAACTCGAACCGACCCATTGATGAGCCCTAATGAAGGCAATTAATTGAATGGTAAAACTAAAAAAAAGAAACAAACAATGAATAATTATACAAAATCATTATAGTCAGAAGCAATTTGTTAATTAATACCTTAAAATCAGATTGTTTCCCGTTTTCACCTCAATCCAATGGGTAGTATGGGAACAAAGAAAAACAAATTTATTCAGCCTTCTGAAAAGGGAATGTAATCTTATGTGGCAAAGTAGTCAAAATTACTTAAATCAAATAGACAAAATAAGAGGATTACATCCAACTATTTTTATAACTTTTGGATTTATCTCAAATTATCTTCTCTTTTTGTATCTAGGCAATACAAGGATCCGTTTGAATCCATGGATTTGATTAGGTAGATTTGGATTTAGAGGCCCAAATCCAAATCCTTTCCATCGTTTTGGACATATTTTAAATTTGACCCAAATTTTCATAGGCTCAAAAATAGAACATCTAAACTAAGCATTTGAGAGGATTTCAAGCTTTTAATTTTTACATGTGAGAATGTGAGATGAAAAAACAAAAAGGGAATAGAGGGGAATATATGAGAAAGAAAACCCGGGGATTTGTTTGTTGTTCGTTGTGGGTTTGAGTTAGCATACACTGTATACATAGGAGGCATGAAGGAAAATTGCGTTTTCTAACAGAAAGTGTAAAGTATAATAGGCAATTCAGCTTTGATTTATTTATTTTATATTTAGGCTTTTTAGTGGCCATATCCGTTCATTTAGATCCAATTTGCATTTAGGTACTCTAATTAATTCACAAAATGGCTTATGTAGTTCCTCAACTCTATTTTCGTTAGCAGTGTTAATCATGCTAGCTATCACAATTGTTAAATTTTCTAATAAATTTTGAGGGAGGGTGTCAACTTTAAATCCCTTGAATTAAATTTTAATGAGATGGCATCTTGAGGAAAGAAGTCAAGCATATCCTAACAAAGAATCCGGATCCTAATTAGAAAGGACTAATAATGACAGCACATAATTAACAAAGTCCAAAATTTGTTACATTGCATTTGGATAAAAACAAACAAAATTTGTCTGGAATTTGCTTGGACAATATTTTTTGGTGTAACTAGATGTTTCCAAATATTAGCCTAGATTTGTAGTCGTGACTCGTAACCAATAGGCCCAATTGCGCCAACGAAATATTTCCCCTGAATCCAACGGTCAAGAGCTTCGCTTCTTGATCTTACTTGGTCCATCCTTTATAAACCCTCACAAACCCACAATAGTAGCCCAATACCACAAGCAACCACCTGTTTCTTTCTTCTCTTGTCATCTCAATCTCTAGAAGAAGCATTTGCTCGGTAAGCAATTTTTCCCCAATATTCATCTGCTCCTTTTTACTTGAAATTTTAGGGCTTGTGATCGAGTTCCCTAACATTTTGATATCAGTAAGTTCACCTCAAGTGTGTGGTTCTTATTGATTTTATTGGATTAGTTTTCGTTTCATGTACATTATACTCCCGATTGTTGCCGTCAGGTTAAATATAAGCAGAATTTCAAAAGCTATTTAAAAACCTCATTTGAAAACTAAAACCACACCCAAGTGCAAATGTAGAGAAGAATAAGAAGAAGACCACTCTCTCTCTCTCTCTCTCTCTCTCTCTCTCTCTCTCTCTCTCTCTCTCTCTAAAAAATCTCATACCTCACTGAGAGAAGAAAATGCATAGGAAGAAGAAGCTCTCAAATTTTCTCTCCTAAAGGAAGTGATGGCTACCATGTTGTAGCTTCCCTTTCTACCAAAAATAAGTCTCCTTTAAAATCCCCCAACTGGCAGTGAAACATTGGCTTCATAATAAGACAGAGGAGGTATAGTTTGATAAGTCCATAATTTCATACATTCGCATGCCTTCTTTACTTAGTGACTTTGCTTACTTTCTCTTTATTTTGAGTCACTTACCTCTTTTTGTTTGTTTTGTAGGTTAAGACAGCAAGAGATCACATTTGATGCAATCCATGCTTGTTAAGGGCTGATTGGGATAAGAGGAATATGAGCTTAAAGACAAACCCAATTTGGGACACATTCCTTGTCAGTTCAGTTTCGTAGGTCATCTTGCAGGCCTCATTTTAGCAACTTACACAAGTCGGATGAGGGGACATCCTTGATAGCAGTTGTTCCAATAGGTGTCTATTATAACATATCCAAATTTCAGCCCAATTGGATAAATCCGGAGCCCTCAGCACGTCAAAGACTGAACCAAGTTCATAGAAATGTCATGTTGGCTGCCATCACATTTAATGTGGCTACATCCCTAGAGCCATGTGCTACACATGGGCAGCCACATATAGGAGTCAAATCAGCTCAGGAACTTAGAAAGATGAACAAAAGTCAAGCTTTCCATAAAGAAACCATACCAAAGCATGTATTTGGTAGCTGGAGCAGTTGACAAGTATGTCAGCTGGAGAAGTTGGCAAGTATGTCAGCTGGAGCAGTTGGCAAGTATGGGAAGCTGGAGCAGTTGAGAGTAGCTAAGAGAGGTGTGCTTCACCAGCCAAAGGGAAGGAAGAAATTGCACTCTATAAATAGAGAGCTGCACACTCATTCAATCGGGAGTCAGACACACACATTCACTTTATCCATTATTCTCATACACACATTCAGATTCACCACAAGGGATAAGAGAGCCAGTTGCAAAGGAGGGAGAGCTTGGAGCTGTCCTGGGAATTCCTTGCTGCCATCATCTAGTTCTTCTCCTCTCTTTATCCTATCTATGTATCTTATTTTCTGTATTCATAGTTATGTCTAACTAATCCATTTAGTTAGGGCTTAGGATGAAGCCCAAGTCATGAATACTCAATGTTATGGATGATTTTATAGTTAATTGATTTCCTTGCTTTTATTATCAAGTTGTTAATCTCTAGTTTATTATGTGTTTGATGTATGTTTTCTTGGAGTAGCTAACTAGGATTTTATGCATCTAGCATAGGTTGGGAAGGGGTTTAGATTCACCAATTCTACTCTCCTTTCACAAGCAACACATGAATGGCTTAAGAATCATTCAAGGGGTTAATAACCATAGGTTGACTAGGACAGATACCATGTTCTAGGACTTGTGTGATTATCATATTCTCATAGAGCTTAATGACTCTTGTATGCTTTATTCTAAGTAGATACCATGCTTAGGTTGCATATTAGAGATCACATGTTATGTAGATACCATGCACGATTACATGCCTTAGGAGAATCATGCATCCTGCACCTAGATACCATAGGCTTGTATGCAATAATCTATTGTTGATGAAGCTTGAGTCAATTTCTATGCATTCATAACTTGGATAGGAAAACTAGTGGTGGATTCCAAGGCTTTAACACATCTCAATCATTGTTTCACAACTTGTTAATTGCTGCTCGTGTTTACTTTCAAGCACTTTCATTTCACTTTCTCCTTTTCATTTCAACAACAAAACCCCCCATTTCGAGTGCGTGTGTGGTGCTAGGATTCTGTCCTAGACCTTGAGTAATTAGCAAGAGGCATTGTTGAATTCAACCTTGCCTTTAGCTAGTTAGTCAGTTTCTTTGTTCTATGTTTTTCTAGCATTCTAAGTAATTTAACTTGTAACCAAGTAACCATTCTCCGTGGGATCGACCTCGTATTTACATAAGCTATACTATAAACGGTTCGTGCAGTTGCGAGAATTAAAGTTGCTGTTTTTAATAACTCATTTTAGTTGTTAAGAATAGGCTCAACACAGTTGGCAATAAAAACAAACTATCATGTGAATAGATCACTAGTCATACCACCTATCATTTAAATGAATTCAATGTATTTCTACTTTCAAGGATCTTGATTTCACGTGAGCCTTGACAAGGTTTATCTCAACTTATGTAATCATCTTGAAAGCAAACTTAAACTAGTCTAAATTCTTTGAGCTTGGTTAATTACATACAAGATTACAAGTTTATTTAGGAAAGCTAAAAATATTACCGAAACAAAACCTAACATGAAGACGTTACCTCTAGAGATAATTCAATGGCTTCAGGTTAGTGTTTTAGTTGTTTATGCCTAAGATTATCAAAATCAAAGTCATACTCAAATCAAAATCGAAGTCGAACTCAAATCGACATCAAATTTGAATTGAAAAACGGAACCAGAGTTAGAGAAGTCAAAATCAAGAGCCTACTTGAGTGGAGATATTTCCTGATGAAATCTACCTCCTTTCAAAGAGTGATTTAGGGAGGGGGAGAAAAGAATATGATGGTTGGATATGAGGACACTTCTTTTGAAAAGAAGTTAAAAAAATTTAATTGGTCATAAATGTTGCAAAGAAGACATGTGAGGACATCGTACCATACCCACTTTATGTGTTTTAGTCACTAATTATTCAATTTAAACTCTTTATATTGACTAAATTTAAAGTATCCACTACTTGTCAATGTTAAAAAATTCAGCCACAATAATTTTTTTATTATTTTGAATACAAGCGATAGTCAACACTACTAATGTGCTATGCGAGTTCACACCTGAGACCAATAGTCTACAAATCAAATCCCTTTTCCACTATGCTAGACCCCATTAGCAAGTGATAAGTCTATATTTTATATATATTTTATGACTCATTTGCTTATTTATTTATTAATTTTCTTGGATTAAATTGGTTGTTTGTAATTTGTTTTGTGAGATTTGTGAAGGAATTGTGAAATAGGAGAAAGTGTGCTAAAAAAGGCAAGAAGATGAAGATCGGAGATCAATTAAAAAGAAGCCAAGTCATTTCTTTTGTTGCAAGGAATATTGTCAAATTTCTTAGTTCAAGATGGTTCAAGTCTTATCAAGTCAAACAAGGAGGAATAAAGAAGACCTTATATTAGAAGGAATCCTATTTTTATAACAATTGTAATTATTCCTTAGGTATGATTTCTAGGAGTTTTATAAATAGGGAGTTTAGGTCATTGTTCAAGGGATCCATTACCCATCATCCATCCGCATCCTCTATCATCTACCCTAAAATTCCTACACATTCATACTCAATCGAAACACTCAAATGAGAGAGAGAGAGAGTTTTAAAGAGACAAAGAAGATGACCTGGAGCTAGAGTTGTTGTGCAGAGATCAAATCTTCAATTGGTTTTTTTCTTTCCTACAATACACTTTATCATAGTTTTTATTGAAGTTGTCATGAACTAATTTCTTTTTGCTAGGGTTACGATGTAGTCTAGCCATGAATACTCAATTACTTTAGTCAATGTTAATTCCAAGTATTTTTCCATGTTGAGTATCTATTACCATGACTAATGCTTTGAATGTTTGGCCAACATTTAATTGTTTTGATGCTAAATTGACGATAGGGATATCCAATTTGGGGTTGCTTCTTGTAATAGATGCATGTTTGTCATGACTTATGTGGTTGTTTTGTAGGTTTTCTAAGGGATTTAATGGGTTCTTATTATCTTAATTCCATTACTAGGGATAGAGTGGGTTGGTGATAAGAATACTTTTGGTATAACTAGGGATGGAGTATCGAATAAAGTAGGGAAAATCAATTGTCAACATGGAGAATAATTAGGATTAACATGCTAAGGGAATTGGGTAGAATTGGAAATGGTGAAATTGGAAGCTCTAGTGCTCTCATAACTTTAATCTCACTGCTTTATTTTTATGCGCTTGCTTTTATTCATTGTTTTAGTTAATTAATCAATCGAATCTCATCATCAATTGTTCAAATAAAGTCTTGGGTTAATCACAATTGGTACTTAGTAAATTAAATCACTCTTCGTGGGAACGACACTTCACTCATCACTGTATTACTTGTGCGAATTGTGCGCTTGCAATAAATTTCACAACAGCAAGCACCAATAATTTTAATTACCGAAGGGCTACATCGAAAATGTGATAAAGAGGTTTGATATGGGTTTATATTGGCGATGTTTCTATCATGATCTGATTGAGTGATTGATAGCTTGAGGTCTTTGGTTTTCTTTTAAAATTTGGTATTTTTTGCTTCAAAATTGGCTAATTATTCTGTCACCTATTTCGCCACACTATAAATCAACTTCCAATAGGGTAATTGCATCCAAATTTCTAATCTTTACACCCATCATATTTTGAAGTGTATGCTATTTAATTGACTCAACAAGTGTTTACGTTATAGGCTGCGAATATGACCTAGTTTCATGGTCTTTTCCCCTCTAACTATTCCCATTCTTAACGAAGAGTGTGGAAACATCCTTGGAAGCTAAAATTAACGCCTAAAGTACAAGTTTTCCTTTGGCATACACTAAAAATGTTCTTCCATGTCAAGCTACTCTAGCAGGTTGACATGTGATACCCTCAGGCGTTTGTTCTTGTTGTTTGGGAGCTGATGAAGATTCGTTGCATGCATTGTGGTCTTTTAAGTTTGCACGATAGTTTTGGAATTGTTCTCCTCTGCGCCAAGCAACGGTATTTTCTTTCATGAATATCTTTTATCATATTTGTATTATATTTTAGGAGGAGGAATATATTCATTTGCAGTGATAGCTTGGATGATTTGAGCATAGAGAAACACGAGCCTTCATGGAGGCTTAATGAGAAAGCCTTGACACATCACTAGCATTCAATAAGGAGAGTGTGTTGATCTAAGTACAGCTGCTAAGCTATCTCATGTAGTTTCTTGTTGTTGAAGCCCCCTAAGGAGGATTTGTTGGAATTAAATGTTGATGGGGCATACTGTGTGGTTGATAGAAAGATGAGGTTGGGAGCAATAGTTCAAAATGACCATTGATAATTAATGGGTGCCATGACTAAACCTATAATTGATTGTCTTTCCCAAAAAAAATAAAATTTGAAGTTTTCTTTGTGATTAGAAATTGGGTTCGTCATCAGGTTGGACTTTATGGGCATTTTTAATTTTTTGGATTGGGTTGGGCTCGGTCAAGATTTCAAAGATCTTGGCCTAGGCCGGACTTTACTTTCAAAGTCTTTTATTTATTTATTTATTTTTTGTCAAAAGTGATGGATAAAGACCATTCTCTTAAAAAATAGTATAGATTACTACATAACTTAAGAAAACATAAACATAAACTCTTTGACTAAACCTAGACCAATAGGCAATATATTTAAAAAATATTCTACCTAAAAATGAATCTTATGAAAATATTAGCCAAACTCATTGCAGTTTTTTTTTCTCTCCTTCCTCTCTCTCGTTTCTCTCTCTCCTCCCCTTCCTCTTCTTTCTCTCTCCTCTCCTCTCCCTCGTCTCTCTCTCCTCCCTCTCTTATTTTCTTTTGATAATTTCAATTTGGTAATTAGGGTTTCTGATTTTTTAATTTTAATTTCAATTTTTTTTCTAGATCTTAAAAATAGTTTGGAGTTCAATACTAAACAAGTTTTTAGATCCTAAAATTAGAATTTAAAAACTCATATTTTAACAAAAATCATAAGTTTTGAGTTCATTTTTTTTCAGTGCCATGGAGCTTGCAAGCTAGTGCCATGGGATGAACGAGCTGGAGCAGGAGCTACCATTGCCATGAAGAACTGAGCTTCAAGCTTTGCTAAGTTGGAGAAGAAGATTGCACAAATGAGGTATAGCTCATCTTCCTAAATAGATCTAGGTTTTTCTTGAGCTTGCTTGTGTTCCGTTGTAAGAATCTTTTTCTACTTAGTGGATTGCCTGGTCGGTTGATGACCCCCAGTTTTTCCCAATAGTGGTTTTCTGGGTGAACAGTTTCTGGTTTCCAACTCTGTAAATTTTCTGGGTTTGTGTTCTTGATAGTTGACTAGTCATCTGGGTTTGTGCGGTTGACTAGTCATCTTTTTCTGCTGTTTGGTGTTTGCTTGATTATGATGTCTTCACACACTTTCACCATAGTTGTTGCTAGCACAGGGGATGCCTAGATTGACGGGTCCTTCTGAGTGCCTAGGTTGTCACTAGTAATTCTCTAGGCTTGCAGGTACATCTTTGTATGCTCTGTGTATGTTATTGTTTGGTATAATTCATATATGACAGTTGATTAGTCATAAGAGTATTTGGTCAAGGTCTAGAGTGTGAAGTTTGCTGCGTTGTTGGTTGAATATCTTTTAAATTTACCCCTCGTCACTGAAGTACCATTTTCAATTGGTATTAGAGCACCAGCTCTTAACATAAATAGAGAGATCCTTATGGTGCTAATTGGTATTAGGTGTGCAAACATAAAAAATGGATCAAATTGCTTCTTGCATTCATGATGAGCTTGCCTTGTTTGTTCAGAAATATAGAAGGGTTGTGAAAGATAAAACCAAAGTCACTAGGAATTGTCAAAATCTTCCTAGTTTGTCTACATGTGTGTCTCAAGGCAATGTTTTTAAGGAGATGTATTTTTTGGACTTTTATGGCTTTAGGGAGGACAAAAGTTTGAAGGGTCTTGTAAAGTGCTATCTATGTGGTGGTGCTGGTCACATTGATGTGGAATGTGCAAATAACCACATGATAGAGTCTAATGGGAGAGAAGAGTCAATTAGTGCACAATGGAGTGATAATGATAGTGATGATTCCAATAACTATATCACTTCATCTTTTGAAGAGGCAAAAATTTTTGCCCTTGTTGGTTCTATTCATAACTCTAGCCTTGCTAGAGTTCGTGTAGTTAAGGAAGGAAAAACTTATTCAGGAAATCAATCTGTGTCTAGAGATGATAGGCAGAATGACCAGTCATACAGGGAACAGGATGACCAGTAATACAGGGAACAGGATGACCAGTAATACAGGGAACAGGATGACCAGTCATACAAGGAACAGGATGACCAGTCATACTTGGGTATATGTGAAAAGTATGATGTCCTTTTTATTGAAACTTCCAAGCTTAAGGAAAGAAATTTCTTACTTGAAAGGAAGGTAAAGAACCTGGAAATTCTTAATTGCACTTTTAAAGAAGCAAATAATGAATTGAGTTAAAATGTTGAGACGTTGAAGAGTGAAAGGGATTCATTGATTGTCATTAAAAATGACATTTCAAACCAATTGAATGTGCTCAAGGAAAACAACTTGGTTTTCCAAGCCTCCAACAAGAATTTGTTGACTCAGATAAATGAGGCAAATGACACGGTGATCAAGCTTACCATAGGGGATAAAAAGATGGATAAAATGTTGAATATGGGTAAGGTTCATCGAGACAAAACAGCTTTTGGTTATGGTTGTTCTAGTTCATGTGTTCCTCCTCCTTTGACCACATTTGTCAAGGAGTCAAATACAAAGTTTGATGTTTTAGAGACAACTAGGACTCAAAGATTCATTCCTACTTGTTACCATTGTGGTGTGAAAGGTCACATTCGACCTAGGTGTAGTGCTCTAAGGAATGTGTCTAGATCAACCAATGCAAATGACTTTAAAAACCATGTTTCATCTCTTAAAACATGTGAGCTTGCAAAATCTATTATTTGTACAAGAGATAAACATTCTTCACTTGCAAAATTTGGTTTTCAACAACCAAAAAGGTTTATTCCTATATGCCATCATTGTGGCACATTAGACCAAAGTGTTTTGAGCTTAGGAATTTTGAGCAAAAGCCTTTTGTTCATTTCAAGAAAGTAAATGATGACTCATTTCAAACTCAAGTGAATGATCTTCTTTATAAAGTTGTCAAAATTCCTAAGGTGATCTCTTTGCCTCATAAAGTCTCAAAAGTGAAGCAAGTTTGGATCAAGAAGGAAGACCATGTTCTTTCTCATGTTGGTGACTAGTTTCTTTATCTTATGTATCTAGACCATTCTCTTGTTTGTGTGTGCTTCATGGAGTCTAGATACATTGTCATGCATTTGCACCTTATTCTTTTGTTTGATTAGGATTCATTTGTTTAATTTTTTTTAAATGTGGTCATTGCATGCATGTCTTTCAATCATCTCTCTCACAGTGCTTGATTCTTGGGTGATCAACAAAATTTCATGTTCTTTTGAACTTGTTCACATTTATCTTGTTGGTATTATCCAAACCTTTTCCCTTGGTGGCAAGGAATACATCCTAGCCATTGTAGATGATTTCTTTGGGTTTATTTGGGTCTCATTCTTGCTTGAAAAATCAGAAACCTTTCAAAGGTTTAAATCTGTCTGCCACCTTTTACAAAAAGTTAAGATGACTAGTCATCTGCCTCTTGTTAGAATTACAACGGATCATGATTATGAGTTTGAGAATTCTCAGTTTATGAAATTCTATGAGGAGATGGGAATTAAGCATGAGTTCTTTATATCTACTACACCTCAGCAAAATGTTGTTGTGGAGAGAAAAAAAATAGAGTTCTTGTTGAGATGGCTAGGGTGATGCTCAACAACAAAAATTTTGCTTAACATTTGTGGGCTAAAGCTGTAAATACAGCTTGTTACATCTTAAACAGGTGTTTTTTTGGTCTTTTATCTCCTATGCTTGAGGGAGAATCTCCAGGTATGTATCTAGTGGTTGACCTGTCAACTTTTAGCAAACCGATTGCCCTGTCAACTTTTGACAATTCTGTTCCAGTTGACCTGTCAACTTGTCATAATCCCTCATAATCTCAGCTCATCTGTCCCTGTTGAAAACTCTCTATGGAAGCATGATAGGAAGCCTTCTCTACTTGATTGCAAATAGACCTATCATTTCTTATAGTATAGGAGTTTGTGCTAGGTTCCAAAGTGATCCCAAAGAGTCTCATTTGTTTGCTGTCAAAAGAATCATAAAATATGTGAGTAGAACTTTTGAGTTTGGGTTGTGGTATATCTATGACACTTGTGTCAATCTTGTTGGGTATAGTGATGCCAATTGGGCAGGTTGTAGTGATGGTAGGAAAAGCACTTACGGGGGGGTCTTTTATGAAGGCAACAACCTAGTTGCTTGGGATAGCAAAAAATAGAAATCTATCTCTTTATCCACTACCAAAGCAGAGTATGTTGCAGCTGGGAGTTGATGCACTCAACTCCTTTGGATGAGACAAATGTTGGAAGACTATGGTCTTACTCAATCATGCTTTCTAATCTATTGTGACAACATGAGTGCTGTAGATATTTCTAAAAATCATGTTCAACACTCTAGGACTAAACATATAGACATTAGGCACCATTTTATTAGAGATCTTGTGGAAGACAAAATTCTATCTTTGGAATTTGTTCCCTCTGAGAAACAGCTAGCAGATATACTCACCAAGGCCTTGGACTTTCAGAAACATGTCACACTTAGGTAGTCCATTAGCCTTTGCTCAATTGATTGATTAGCTTGTCTGTTCCTTATCTTCAGCACATTGTAGAACTGTTGACTAGTCATCTTCGTTTTAGTGACTAGTCAAATATAAATTTTTGTTTACTTGGTGTGCAAATGTCAAAAACATCTGTTTCTTATGATCTCTGATAATGTGAAGTTTGAATCATTTTATGCTTTGCCTGATTTGTGCATAATTCCCCCTTCTAGTTTGGAGCCATTAGATGAAATTTGTTTGGGTGTTTTTTCGTCCTCTTGGTGAGACAAGTGTTGTGATCCATTGTGGACAATCATTATTATAATCTCCTATCTTATCTCACTCTCTTAGGCAATTTGTTTAAATTAAAACAAAAAAGAAAAAAAAAGAAAAAAAAAGGGGGAAGTGTGACCAATGTAGTCACGACTCTAGGAAGGTATAAGGTGATATGATTGAAGAATCTAGAGCAAGAGCCGCAAAATTGGGCCACTCAAGCACTTAAGTCTGGGATGTGCAAATAAGAAACATAATAAATGGCCAGATTGAGTGATGAAATTCAAATAGGTTGAGTCTATGCTTTGAGTTTGTCTTGAAGGTTCATTATATACTTGTCTCTCCAAGACTGATATTTCTTCATCTCTTGTGTTTTTCTTTTGGCTCTGAACCTTCTCTGTCCATCTTGCCTTATCTCTGAGCATGAAATCTAATTCATATTCTATCCATCAGAGTTAGTTGCAATTGTTTTGTTTGCACATGTGGTTATCTTCTCTCTCTCTTACTTACTGTGCTTGAAGACTTGGACTAGGCTATAGTAGCTAATACATCGTTGATCACTTGATATATTTGCTAGTTCATGTTTGTGTTTTTTAAAACCAAAATCATGTCATCCTCAAGGTTGATACTAAAATTGCTACTTGTTATGAGATTGCCTGAGTTCATAGTCAACATATGCTCATGCTGATTGTGGTTGACTAGTCATTTAGTTATGCTTGTTATGATATTGTCTTCGTTGACTAGTCAACTTATGCTCCCACTGATTATGATTGACTAGTCATCTGCTTAATAGGGTTCTTGTGCCTTTTGGTGAAATTAATTTTCACTCTAAGAAAGACCATTGGTTATGAAACAAAGCACAAAGGCTCACTTGTCTTCTCCTTGTCTCATTTACACCTTCTGTTCGAACATTAGTATTGTGTTTATGTATGATCATGTTTGGATGATGCCACTTTGGTCTATGACCAGTCATCTTAATAAGGTGTGTTCCCACATTCAATGATTTAGCCTAACATAATTCTTGAAATCCTTAAGAATCTGCCTTGCTATATGAGTTTTGGATTGTTGGCTAATTTATTTTGTTGGGGGAGTTTCTTTGAGATGCATGTGTTTTGACAACATTCTACTGGTTGTTTTTATCATTTTAATACATCAATGTTGCCTTTCTAAGCCTTATCTTGATTGATTTGCTCTCTTTTGTTCTTGGCTGTGTCTATGAGGTTGTTGGTCTTTTGATGCCACCTCAAATTTGGACATGCGTGACTAGTCCGTTTCACTAGTCCACTCTTCTTCTTGTGCTTTTTTTGGAAGCTATGTTGTGTTTTTGGACAACCTAGAGACTTATGTCTTGTGTTCTTTCTCACATGTCCTTAATCTTGAGCAAAAATTTAGGGTTCATCTTGCTTGGTGCTTTCTTCAAATTGACAATGATTGATGCCTTAAATTTTGAAATCTTAGTGCTCTGTCTTGATTTTGCACCATGGTGTGTAAAGAAAAATTCATTGGTTGTGCCTTGTTTTGATAAATATGTTGCTTAAACTCTATCTTTTTAGGGAAGTTTCTTTATGTGTAATGTGTACACATTGAAATTAAATTCAGCCACTTGATTTTAATTGCTTTAGGTATGATTCCTTGCAACTTGTGCTCCATTTCTTATTCTATTTAGCCTAAAGCACTTTTGTGTTTGTTGGCTATGTGTGGAAAGTTTGTTGGATTAGTACGTCAAAAGTTAATTCCTTTATATTATAGGAAGTGTCCTAGATAGGGGGAGTATTTTTTGAACAGTTTGGGTGGTACATTTTTGTAATCACATTGTGAGGGATCATTTGCTTAGGTAGTCTGTGCAATTTGATAGGGGGAGTTGTTTTGTACTGTTTTGAACAAGTGTTATTTGACCAGTCATCAATCTATGTTATGTGCTGTTAACCTTGTTCATATCTGCCTATCTTCTTTGTGGTTAATCCCCTTGTATGTTGTCTCTATCTCTCTGCCTTTTTGCACTTTCCTTATCAACAAGGGGGAGAACACTCTCAACCCCACATTGCATATTGTTTTAAAAATTCTGTGATAATATGCTTGTTTTTGTGCTTAGGAGATTGGTTATTCTTGCAGGTACCTTCACTTCTTCATCTCCGTAGGCTGGGTTTTGGGTTGAGTGTTTTTAGAGAGTGTGTTGTTAAGGAAAGCCAAAAAGGGGGAGATTGTTAATGTATGGTTCTTTGTTATTTTCTTTTGGCTTCCCTTGACAACTTTGTAATAGGATATGTATTGTTATTTATCAAGCTCAAGTTTAGATTAAGGAAAACCTTTCTTGGTGTTCTTCTCTAATTTCTGCTCTATGGAGGTTCAAGCAAGTTGACAAAGGTATTGTGCATTGCATATCATGACATTAAACAGTCTTCATAAAATGATGACTAGTCATCCTTTTCTCAGATGACTAGTCATCCTTGCTCTGTAGGATTTCCAGCTGGATAACAAACTGTTTTGTCATATTCTTCTTTCTCTCTCTCTGCTGCCATGTGGGTTTCTGACCTAAGGAATTTTTTGGTCTGTAAAGGCTACGATTTTGGTCATTTGGCGGCTCTCTTTTGGGTGGAAGTTTTGGAAAGTTTGGCTTGCCATCTTTCGCTTCTTCTTCCTCGAGAGAACCATCTTATTTTCATCTATGAGTTTTTCCAATTGATTTCTTTTTGAAAAACTGCATTTGAAACACGAATCTGCATCTAGCTACTTAAATCATTCTCTCATTTATATCTAGGTGAGATTCAAGACTGATTTCTTCAAGAGTATGGTTTCTTGAAGAAATTGGTCATTCTCCTTTGAATCCAAATTTTGGTTTCGATTTGTGTTGGAGCTTGCAAGCTAGTGCCATGGGATGAACGAGCTGGAGAAGGAGCTGCCATTGCCATGAAGAACTGAGTTTCAAGCTTTGCTAAGTTGGAGAAGAAGATTGCACAAATGAGGTATAGCTCATCTTCCTAAATAGATTTAGGTTTTTCTTGAGCTTGCTTGTGTTCCTTTGTAAGAATCTTTTTCTACTTAGTGGATTGCCTGGTCGGTTGATGACCCCTAGTTTTTACCAATGGTGGGTTTCTGGGTGAACAGTTTTTGGTTTCTAACTCTGTAAATTTTCTGGGTTTGTGTTCTTGATAGTTGACTAGTCATCTGGGTTTGTGCAGTTGACTAGACATCTTTTTCTGCTATTTGGTGTTTGCTTGATTACGCTATCTTCACACACTTTCACCATAGTTGTTGCTAGCATAAGGGATGCCTAGATTGACGGGTCCTTCTGAGTGCCTAGGATGTCACTAGTAATTCTCTAGGCTTGCAGGTACATCTTTGTATGCTCTGTGCATGTTATTGTTTGGTATAATTCATATATGACAGTTGACTAGTCATAAGAGTATTTGGTTAAGGTTTAGAGTGTGAAGTTTGCTGCGTTCTTGGTTGAATATCTTTTAAATTTTGAATATCTATTAAAACTATGCACTAAATTATGAACCCTTGTAATTTGAGTAGTACCATATGAATGTGTTACGATCAGAGTACAAAAATTCGATAATTTCGCCGAAATATCGGCGAAATTATCCTTTTTTTGGGGCTGCAAAATTTTAGCACAATTCCAATTATATATCGTGATTTTTTCGATATTTTCGTCGATAATTTCGAGGATATTTCGGGTAAGATATTTTCGTCCAATTTCTCAATTTAAATGGTCATAATATCGCGACTTGAACTGTGTCAAAATTGAAACAATTTAAGCTCCGCGTATGATGGGGTTCGAACCTCTCCTAACTCCGAATTTTTGGAGCCACTTAACCACCACGCCAGTCATCATTTTGTGATAATAAGCTATGGAATATGTATTTATAATATATGCGAGCTGTTTCTCAAAATAGAAATTAACATAATTACTTATTTTTTTATATTGTTGATCAGTTACTTAATTACTTAATATAATTTATTTCTTTTCTATTTAATCCATTTAATGTTATTGATTATTTTATTATTCATTATAAGTACTTACATTACTAAATTCCCCTTCAAATTGTTGCTTAATTACTTAAATCTCTATAATATTTATTTTCTTTGTTTACTACTTAATTCTTTCTTTGATAAATTTATTTATGTTCTTAGTTAATTTTCAATCTTCACTATTATTTTTTAAGTATGGTAAAGTGCCTAATTTTCATGAAAAGTCAAGTTGGTTTAATTATTTTTCAATTTTTGATAAATAATAAATATAAGAACGTGTACCATGTCCAATGAATAATGTGAAATAAGGTTACACATGTATCTTACCATGCAATTTATAAAGTGTAAAATATTGTACTAAAAAATGATAAATAAATTACTATGGGGTGTTTAATTCTCTTCATTAATTACTCCATATTTTCTAAGTCACAGAG